TGTAGATGCAAAAATTCTCAACAAAATCCTCCTAGCAAATCGAATTCAGGTGCTAATCAAAATAATAATACATCATGACCAAATTGGCTTCATCCCAGAGATGCAGGGATGGTTCAACATATGCAAGTCTATAAATGTAATTCACCACATAAATAGAAGCAAAAACAAAGACAATATGATCTTCTCAATAGACACAGAAAAAGCATTCAACAAAATTCAATACCATTTTATGATAAGAACACTTAACAAGATAGGCATAGACAGTACTTACCTAAAATTGATATAAGCCATGTATGACAAACCCACAGCCAACATCATACTGAATGGGGAAAAATTGAAAGGATTCCTGCTTAGAACTGGAACCATACAAGGTTGCCCTCTATCATCACTTCTATTTAACATAGTGCTAGAAGTCCTAGCCAGAGCAATCAGATAAGAGAAGTGAATCAATGGCATCCAAATGGGAGCAGAAGAGGTCAAACTATCTCTCTTTGCTGACAATATGATCTTATATCTAGAAAACCCCAAAGATTCTGCCATGAGACTACTGGAATTGGTAAACAAATTTAGCAAAGTCTCAGGCTACAAAATCAATGTACAGAAACCAGTAACATTCCTATACACCAACAACAGTCAAACTGAGAAACAAATTCAAGACTCAATGCATTTCACAATAGCAACATAGAAAATAAAGTACCTAGGAATTTATTTAACTAAGGAGGTAAAAGACCTCTATGGGGAGAACTACAAAACACTGAGGAAGGAAATAGCAGAGGACATAAATAGGTGGAAAACCATACCATGCTCATGGATAGGCAGAATCAACCTTGTTAAAATGTCTATACTACCCAAAGTGATCTACAGATTCAATGCAATCCTTTTTAAAATACCAATATCATTTTTCACATATCTAGAAAAAATAATTATATGTTTCATATGGAACCAGAGAAGACCCCGTATAGCAAAGGCAATCTTAAGCAAAAAGAACAAATTGGGAGGCATCAATTTACCAGATTTCAAGCCATAATTCAAGACTATAGTAAGTAAAAAAGCATGGTACTGGCACAAGAAAAGACACATAGACCAATGAAACAGAACTGAGAACCCAGATATAAAACCATCCTCATATAGCCATCTAATCTTTGACGAAGCAAACAAAAACATACACTGGGGGAAAGAATCCTTATTCAATAAATGGTGCTGGGAAAACTGGATAGCCACATGTAGAAAACTGAAACAGGATCCACACCTTTCACCTCTCAGAAAAATCAACTCACAGTGGATAACAGACTTAAACCTAAGCCATGAAACTATAAGAATGCTAGAAGAAAATGTTGGAAAAACTCTAATAGACATTGGCCTACACAAAGAATTTATGAAGAAGACCCAAAGGCAATCACAGCAATAACAAAAATAAATAAATGGGACCTGATCAAATTAAAAAGCTCTGCACAGCCAAGGAAACTATAACAAGAGCAAACAGACAACCTACAGAATGGGAGAAAATATTTGCATGTTACACATCTGATAAAGGGCTGATAACTCGAATCTATATAGAACTCAGGAAAATCAGCAAGAAAAAAAATCAAACAACCCTATCAAAAAGTGGGCAAAGGTCATAAACAGAAACTTTTTGAAAGAAGATAGACTAATGGCTAACAAACACATGAAAAAATGCTCAACATCTCTAATCATCAGGGAAATGCAAATCAAAATTAGATGTCACTTATCTCCAGCGAGAATGGCCTTTATCAAAAAGTCCCAAAACAACAAATGTTTCACTTTTGAAGCTCTGACTCGAGGGTGGAGGGGGGACATGGGCAATATATGTAACCTTAACATTTGTACCCCCATAATATGCTGAAATTTTTAAAAAAGGAAAAAAAAACAAAAAAAACAACAAATGTTGGTGTGGATACAGAGAGATAGGAACACTGATTCACTGCTGGTGGGTCTACAAACTAGTACAACCTCTGTGGAAAGTAACATGGAGATAGCTCAAAGAGATACAAGTAGAACTACCACTTGATCCAGCAATCCCATTACTGGGCATCTACCCAAAAGAACAAAAGACATTCTATAAAAAAGACATCTGCACTTGAATGTTTATAACAGCACAATTCACAATTGCAAAAATGTGGAAACAACCCAAGTGCCCATCAATATATGAGTGGATTAATAAAATGTGGTATATGTACACCATGGAGTTCTACTCAGCCACAAAAAACAATGGTGATTTAGCACCTCTTGTATTATCCTGGATACAGCTGGAACCCATTCTACTCAGTGAAGTATCACAAGAATGGCAAAACAAGCACCACACGTACTCACCATAAAAGTGGTTTTAACTGATCAACACTTAAGTGCACATATAGTAATAACATTCATCAGGTGTCAGGCAGATGGGAGGCCAGGGAGGGGATGAGTATATACACACATAATGAGTGCAGTGCACACCATCTAGGGGATGGACACGCTTGAAGCTCTGACTTGGGTGGGTCAAGAGACAGATGTAACCTAAACATTTGTACTCCCAATAATATGCTGAAATAAAAAATAAATAACAGCCAGTGTAAAAAGGGAAACAAAGAAGCAAAATGTATGTCTAGCATTTACTATGCCTTCCAAGTTTACTTCCTCAAAACAATCCTGTTTTCTTTCTTTTTCACTTCAAACAAGTAATGTGCTGGCATTGTAACAAGGTTTGAGGTGGGCACATCTCTCATTGGTAAGTGAAAACTCAATTATCACACTTATGAACTACAAAAGGATCACAATCCTGTGTTTCAACAGTTGTTATTTGCCAGAGGAAGAAACTGAAGCATAGTGAGTGAAGAGACTTGCTTAAGGGTATACAGGTGGGAAGTGAAAATGAGGGGACCTAAGTCTCACTTCATTCATAAATAAGTTGCATTTATTCATCTAACATTTGTTGAGCACCTTCTATGTGCCAGGTCCCGCTCCTTTCCATGCTGTTCCAAAACATCTGGCCTAACTCAGTGAATGAGATTGAAGTTCAAATTGCCAAATCTAGCTGCCCCCGGACTGAAGCTATAGTTCCCATAAAGAAATTACTTTCTTTACTTCCTGCACGGGTGTCTCATGCATTTTCCTGCTCTGCTAATGTTATGGGATAAGAATGGACGGAGGCAGGGGAAACCTGAAGGGAAGGTGGAACAGAAAGGTTATCCGTGGGCATGATGTAGGTATTCAATGATGGGCAAGGTGAATAGATGCAGAAATAATGAGATGATGTTTTAGTGCTGGGGAAATACCTTTATCTAAAGGCAGATGTGAGATGTGAGTGCAGGAAATATTCTCTGACTTGGAATCAAAATGCCCCTTGTTAAGTCCTGACTCTGCTATTGGCATACTGTATGAGCTGTATGAGCCTCGGTTTCCTCATCTACAAAATGACAATAGGAATTTCCTATCTGTGTCAAGAGTTCTTTGGAAATAAAATGGAATATTCATTCATCCATTCATTCATTCATTCAATAAATAGTCACTGAGTGCCCACCATGTGCCAGGTACCATTCCAGGGGCTTGAAATTCAACAGTGAATATTAGAGACATAGTTTCTGCCTTCATGGACCATACAATTCAGCAGAGATGACAGATATTAATCAAACAATTACTGAAAAAATTAAGGATGTATCAATATACTACTCCCCTGCATAACAACCTTGACTGTTTTTACATTTCTCTTGGAATAAAATTCATCCACAGTCCACCAAGCCCAATGTGAGATGACTCTTGCCAGTCACTCTGACTTCGTTTTGCACCATCAGCTCCCTTTTCACTCCCCTCCAGACACACCGATCATCTTTCAGTTCCTCTATCAAGCCCTTCCTCACTTCAGGACCTTTGTACATATCTCTACCTGGAATTCTTATTCTTTGGCTGGCTCCCCCCTTTCCCTATAGGTGTCAAGCCTCCCTTGAGCATCCTACCCAAGGTGATTCCTTGGCCATTCACTGTCCAGCTCCATGTTTATTTCATTTATAGCATTTAGATTTCCAGGAGTTAGCATAGCACCTCTTATGTACTAGGTATGCAATAATGATTTGTTAAAGGAAAGAATTAGTAAATGAATATATATGTGCTTATAAATGCATGAGGAAATTCTAAAATGATATATGAGAAAATATTAAGAGTGGTTGCCTTCAGGAAGGTAGGTCAGGAATCTAAAAAGGGAGGAAGTCTTACTATTCGTTCTGTACCCTTTTGTACTGTTGAGTTTTCACCATGTGCATATTTTAACCCTTCCCTTTTGTTTGAAAACCAATATTAAAAATAAGAATCACATAAATATAAATAAGTAATTTATTCCAATTGTGATAATAGCCACAAGCTTTATAAACTGTACGGTGTCATGAACTGGGAAGCAATTATTATTGCCTGGCACATAGTAGGCACTCAATACATTTCCAAACCTCACACACCCCCTGCCGTCTTTTTGATTCATTTTTCTCTAAATGATTTAAGTGCATTAACATGCTATATCACATAACTATACACTACCATCTTACAGACCTTACATTTTATTTTGTTCATTTTATTTATTGTCTTCCCAACCTCCTGCACACAGCGCACTAAAATGCAAGACTCATGAAGGTGGGGATGAATTTTTGCCTGTTTTGTTCACCTCAGTGTCCCCACCGCCTAGGACAGTGGCATATAGTGGAACACAATAAATTATTTAAGAAGTGAATAAACAATAGGATATTGGATGGATGCATGCATGAATGAGTAAGTTCTTAGTTATTAGGAATATGAGGATTTGCAGACACTGGGACAGCTTGGGATTGAGGAGACAGAATGGAACTGGGGACTGGGGTCCTCAGGTCTCTCTCGGGATTGGATGCCCACCGCAGTGGTCCAGTGTTCCTTTCTGAACCTTGCAAGTTGCTTAGCAACCCGCCGCCCGGCCCTCTGCCTCCGCTAGAGGGCGAGCGGGCGGGCAGCCGTGCACGCGCGCGCGTGCGTGCATGCGTGTGCGCGCGCGTGCGCGGCGCGGGCTGGGGAGGACGGTGCGTCACTTCCTGTTGCTTTAGGGGAACGTGGCTTTCCCCGCAGCGCCCGTTTTTCCATCTGCGTCCCTACTGCAGCGGCCTGAGGTGGAGTCGGATCCCGAGCGCAGCTTCGCCATGGAGTCGGCCCTCAGCGACCCGCACAACGGCAGCGCCGGGGCACGCAGCCCGCCCAACGGCACGACGCGGCCGCCCTCCACGCCCGAGGGCATCGCGCTGGCCTACGGCAGCCTCCTGCTCATGGCGCTGCTGCCCATCTTCTTCGGCGCCCTGCGCTCGGTGCGCTGCGCCCGCGGCAAGGTAGGGTCAACTGTTTCCACCCCCACCCGGACACGGCTGACACGGACCCTTCCTAGGCTGGACAATCACCTCCTCTCCCCAGACACTGACCTTTTCCAGCATTGGTCGCCACCGTTCCCTCCACCTCGGGCCCACTTCGCGCCAACCAGTCCGACCTCAGTATCTGGGTACTGACACCTTCCCTAAATGGGGACTTGTTTCTGCCCCCACCCCCAACCCGGACCCTGACCCATCCCTCTCTTTGTGCATTATGCCACCTCTAGAAACACTGTCAATCACACTGCAGTTGGGGCACTGGTTGTTTTGAGCCCATCGGGCCCAGCCAGACCAACCCATCCTGGGCTTTGGGTCAACCCTAATCTGTACCTGATGGGATACTGGTCCTGAGGATTCCTGAGTGGTACAACCTCTTGTCACCCCTCACTTAGGAATCCTGCCTCACCCTACCCCAAGGCCGTTTCTACCATCCAGACCTATCCCTAGACTCTACCTTCTGTCTCACTGGAATCTATGGCACCTCGTGTGCTCACATAGCACCCCCAGACCAGGCCCTTGCCCCTGCCTCAAAAACAATCCTCAGCCTCCAGTTTTTCACTTCACTTTCTGGAACCAATTCCAGTTAGCTGGCGCTTCATAACCTGGCACCTTGATGCCTCTACTTTGTAACCAGGCATGGACATCTTATTTTGCTGGTTTCCTCTCCCTAACTACCATCTAACCTTGGACCTGTCCTAGCCAAAACCCAGAGCCTGTTCCTGACTCCTAACCCTTTTCTCACCCCTAGCCCCTGACTCTGTCTCAAAGTAGCCTTTCTCCACATAACCTCAGACAGTCCTTCCACCATTTGGTCCTACCTGCTGAGTATCTGAGCCACTGTTGGCCTCTCTTGTAAGACTGGGCCACACCCCATCCCTGGCCTTCCTTGACATCTGTCTCACTGGATACCTAAGATGACTCCAGCAGCTCCCACTTTCTGTCTCCTTCCCCCCTTCCTCACCCCCACTTCTCTACTATATTAAGTGCCTCTAGCTTGTTTTACCTTCTTACTTCCTGGCACCCTCTCCCCTCCTCCACAGCCTCTTAATCTACAGCTCCCCACTGCTTCTCCTCCTCCCAGACCTGAAGATGGACCTAAGCGGAAGCTGTCTTGCCCAAAGAGGGCAGTCCCACAAAGCAGCTGCCAATTGTGAAATTGCTTAAGCTCAGGTTCTCAAAACACTAGCCAACTTGAGCAGCGGTTGAGGTCTGCCACCTTCCTTCCCCAAGAGCAGAGAACTCACTACTGGCTCTTTCTGGTCAGATGCAAAGGAAAGTAGGCAGGGCTTAGGCTGAGAGACTCAGATGTGACCCCATTTTCCTTATTCTGCCTCTTCTAAGCAAAGTTCAAGTGGCCTTTAGTCTCCCTACCATGCCTGTTAGGCAGACAGTGCAAAGAGAAGTTCTGAAATAGACCAGGACAAAGAAGGTGAAGGGCAGCTTGATCCAAGCAGCTCCCCAAACTGTAATTAATTCTCCTTGGCACCTTCTGCACATGGATCACTAATCTCTTAGGAAAGCACCTTCCAGACAGCAGTATTTCCTGAACTTCCACTATTGTCTAGGGTGGGGGTTTGCTGCAAAGATGAGTAGGTCAGAGCCCTGTCACCAAGGAGTTCAGGAGTCTGGATGAATAAAGAATAATTAGATCTGTGATTATAATACAAGCAGTGCTGCAGGGTTTAGAGAAAAAGATTGAGCACATCTGGGACAGAGCAGGGAGGTTTTTCTACAAGTAGGCTTGGGCCTTGATAAAAGGCATTCTAAGCAGAAGAAACCAGGTGTGAGGCAGTTCAGGAGATAGTGGAAATTCTGATGTGGATGGAGCAGAGGGTAGTATTAAGGCCTGGCACAGTGGAAATTTTAAAAAGCAAATATATAAAGGAGCCAAAACTGTAAGTCAAGCATTTGAGAAGAGACTGGGCGTGGTGCCTTATGCCTGTAATCCTAGCACTATAGGAGGCTGAGGTGGGTGGGATCACTTGAGGTCAGGAGATCCAGACCAGCTCTGAGCAAGAGCAAGACCCCATCTCTCCAAAAATTAGAAAAATTAGCCTGGCGTGATGGTATGTGCCTGTAGTCCCAGCTACTCAGGAGGCCATGGCAGGAGGATCACTTGAGCCCAGGAGTTTGAGGTTGCACTGAGCTACAGTGACGCCACTGCACTCTAGGTAGGGCAAGGCTGTCTCCAAAAAACAAAAGGAGAGTGTTAAGCCTCTAAGTATGTCCCCCAGGCATCTCCTGTAGGGCAGTGGGGTTGGAAGTTGTATGAAATTACGAACAGGACCTGACCATTAGTAGCCTGCCACCAGCAGTAACCCGCATGCTCTGAAATTTACAAAACCTTTATCCCCTTTGATGCTCACAGCAACTGAGTGTAGCAGGTTGAGCCAGTTTTATTAGCCCCATTGCGCTGAAAAAGAAACCGAAGGTCAAAGAAATAACTTCTGAAGATCACACTGCCATTTAAGGGCAGAACCAGGTGTGCTTTGTCCAAATCCAGGGCTCATTCCTTCATACGGATGCCTCTAAAAGCTCACTCAAGTGGCATTTTGACCTAGAGAAAGGACAGGCCAAATGCCTCTCTTTTCTGCCCTTACATTTCCCTGGTCATTTGGCAAGGAGAGAGAAGAGTTAGTGTGGGGACCTAGGAGCTTTGATTTCCCACCAGTGTTAGACCCAAAAGCCAGTGGGAGGACAGAATTCTCCCAGGGGCCAAAGGGGGCATACCAGGCAGGGCAAATTGTGAATTCATGGGGAGAAGGTGGAGCGTCCAGGCATGTGTTGGGAAGAAACAGCCTAAGGAGGATCTGTCCCAGTGCAGCGCCTGTCCCTGTCAGAGACCTGTGTCCCCAGGCAGGGCCAAATCCAACCCAAGCAGTAGCTGCACATCAGATTAGTTCCAAGACCCTTGGCCTGTAACACAGAGGAGCCTCTCAGCCAACAGGACTGGGTGCCCGCTCTGTGCCAGGCTCTGGGCTGGGTACCAGAAATGCCAAGACAAAGAAGGCCAAGCCCTGCCCTCACAGAGCTCAGTCACCAAGGAGAAGCAGACATGTGACCAGCTGACTAGATTGAATTCTGATATGCCTCCTGGAGGGGGCAGCAGTTGTCTTTGTACGGATGGGTGACAGCAGGCAGACAGGAGGAGAGGGAGGCATGGAACCACAGGTGTGTTCGGGAGGCAGTGAGGAGTGTGCCGTGAGCCCAGGAAAGGGCTTGGATTTGGTGACAAGAAGATGCTCAGGAGCCTGTGGCCTTTCTGAGGAACAGTCCTGAAGGCAATGCAGTGCTTAATTTTTATAGCTACAAAAATACTACACACTTGTAAAAAATTGAAGCAATGCAGAAATATAAAGAAAAACCTCAGTACTATTCCTTGGAAGTAGTTACACACTACTTGGAATTAGCCATTTGGTGTGTAACCTTCCAGAACTTTTTCTGCGTATGTACAAACATGTAATTTATGTGCCTGTGTGTGTGTGTGTATATATATATATGTATACACATCTGTAAATTTATTTTTGTAAAAATGGGATTATACAGTACATACCACTCTGCAACTTGATTTTTTTAAACACTATTTCCTGGTTATTTTACCAATTCAACACATGCAGCTCTACCTCATCCTATTTTATGGTGGGAAGGGGAGGTTATGCATGCTCCTGGTACAGAATTTGAAAGATACAAAGGGATGCGCAGTGAAAGCCTCCCACCCCAAGCTGCCCAATTTCCCTCCACAGAGGTAGCCCCTGTCACCTCTTTTCTTAGATATCCATCCAGGGAGATTCTGTGCCTTTACAAATAAATAATCATATGCTTTTCCCCCATTTTTATTATGTAACTGCTATATATTATTTTATATACACACACATACTTTTTTGCACCTTGCTTTTTTCACCAAGTGTATGTTGGAGATGAAATTATGTAAGTACATATGCTGGGCATGTTCTTTAACAGTTATGTGGTATCCCACCTGTACCCCACAGTTTGTGTAAAGCACTTCTAAAGTGCTTCTCAGAGTGTGGTCCCTGGACCAACAAGCATCAGCATCACCTGAGAACTGGTTAAAAATGCAAATCCTGAATTAGAAACTCAAGGTGGGCCCAGCAGTGTGTGTTTTAGCAAGCCCTCCAAATTGATTTGCTGGATGGAAAGCTATGTGCATTTTTTGGTTAGATAGATTTTACCAAATGATCCACTGTAGAAGTCGTATGAATTTACTCTCCCACCAGCAGTGACCTCGATTCTTGTTTAATGGCCACCTAGTAGTCCATTCTCTAGAGGTTTTTAAGCAGGTATGTGATACAGTCAGGTGTAGAGCTCTGAAATAGCTCATGGCAGGGGAGGTGATAGGGAGAGGGAGAAAGAAGGGTAAGGAGGCTGGCACAGGGTTTGTGATGAAGATGGCAGTGGGGACCCACGAATTGGGGTGGGAGGTTAGTTCAGGAAATGCAGTTGTGGGGAGGTAAGTGACTGAATGTGCTGATGAGGAGAGGAGACCCAGCTGGGGGTCTCCAGCTGGGGCAACAGTAACAGAATGGTCCAAGAATTCCGGATCATTTCCAGGGCATGGCCTGGAAGCAGTTCTCCCAGAGCTCGAGCCATGCCAACGTCTAGAAGCTGGGCATCTGTCTTCCCTTATTGCTTTTGCTTCCACCCTGATAACTGAACATCCAGAATGGTGGCTTACACCTATAATCCTAGCACTCTGGGAGGCCAAAGCAGGAGGTCCTTTGAGCTCAGGAGTTTGAGACCAGCCTGAGCAAGAGCGAGACCCTGTCTCTACTAAAAATATATATAAAGAAAGAAAGCAGCTGGACAACTAAAATATATATATATATAAAATATTAGCCGGGGATGGTGGCGCATGCCTGTAGTCTCAGCCACTCGGAAGGATGAGGCAGGAGGATTGCTCGAGCCCAGGAGTTTGAGGTTGCTGTGAGCTAGGCTGATGCCATGGCACTCTAGCCCAGGCAACAGAGTGAGACTCTGTCTCAAAAAAAAAAAAAAAAAAAAATTCTGAATGTCACTAGAAGCTCAATTTATTTCTGCTATTGTGTCAGCTTTTCTTCCCCACTCAGTTGTGTTTCAGGAGCTACTGCATTTGCATACGTGCATCTGGTTTAAAAATCCCAATCCAGTTGGTAGAGAATCCTAACAACTTTTAGTATCTTTGTCACCACAAAGATTAATTGTTCAATTACTGTCAGGGTTCTCTTCCTGAGAAAGTTCTTGGGCTCCTTGAGCATCTTGTCACAACTTTCCAACAGAATTCCAGGTGGGAAAGATGAGGTCATCTGGGACATAGTTGCCAGGAGTTTGGGGTCTGGAACTGCCTCTGTTTGAATTCCTGGCTCTGCCACTCACCAGCTGTGTGATCTAAGCAAATTACTTCACCTCTCTGAGCCTTAGTTTCCTCATCTATAAAAGGGAGCTTTTAAAAGTACTGCTTTGTGGGGTTTTTGCGAGGGTGAAATCATGTAAAGCACCTAGAACAGTGCTTGGCACATATAGAAATTCTCAGTAAATATTATCCTTATAATTATTATCGTCATTCAGATTTCAAGTCTCCCATTCTGACTCAACATTGCTGCGTGAGATATTTATAACAGTCACCCACAAAGGAGACCAGATTCCTCTGTGTGGTGGAGCATCTGTCCAACCTTGGTTTGTCACTGAATAGTATTAAGCCTCTTCCCACCCAGGGTACCAGGCTGAATTGAAAGGAATATTTGGAAATGAGCCATAACACTGACTTGTAGGTGAAACCACAAAGTCCCAGGTGTACTTTCATAGCCCTGAGCCTCTGCACTCACAGGTCCTTCTGCCTGGTAAACCCTTCCTCTCCCTGTACACAAAGCAAACTCCTCAACTCAGCACTTATCTGGCACCTACTGCATGCCAGACCCTGTGCTTGACCTTCAAGGCCTTGCTTAAGTGGCATCTGCTCTAGCCACCTCTGACACTCCCCTACTGCTCTGCAGAAATGGGGTCTTGTCTGCTCTCCCATGATTCCCTTGTACATAAAAGCATATAGAGCTTGAATGATGACTCAAGACACAATGCACAGAAATCAGAATCCTCACAGTTCATCTTGCAGTTGAGGAAATCAAGGATCCCAGAAAATGAGAAAAAAGAATCACTTTCCCAAAGTCCCACTGCTAGAAAGAAGTAGAGCTGGAGTCAGACTGGGCTCTGTGACCTTAGAGCCCTCTTTTAACCACTTGGCATTTGTACTGCGTTTCATACTGGTATACGTGTCTATTTTGTTGTGTGTCAGACTGACTGCATTGTAATATTCTGTTTATTTGTCAAGGCCTTAGCCTACCTGCCTGTGAACTCTGAGGTCAGAGGCTGTCTCATATTTTTTTTGAGTAAAGGTCTCTGTCACCCAGGCTAGAGTGCAGTGGTGTCATCACAGCTGACTGCAACCTCAAACTCCTGGGCTCAAGCGATTCTCCTGCTTGAAATTCTCCTCCTTGGCCTCCCAGGTAGCTGGGACTACAGGTGTACACCACAACGCCCAACTGATTTTTCTAGTTTTTGTAGAGACAGGGTCTTGCTCCTGCTGCAGCTGGTCTCAAACTCCTGGCCTCAAGCAATCCTCCCACCTTGGCCTCCCAAAGTGCTATGATTATAGGTGTGAGTCACCGCGCCTGGCCAGAGCTGATTTATTTTTGTACACAACCACTACACAGGAAATGTACTGAATGTGTGGAAGTGCACAGAGGGGGTGAGGAACTTGCCCGAGTCCCACAGCACGCCGCTGCCAAAAGCAGAAAACAAGGATTGGGAGAGAAGGAAGTAAACAGGCCTCGCTCACCCACCCCACCCCCAGCTCCTGGCAGAGCTGCCAGAGTGAGTCACACAGAGCTGCCCCCAGTGGCTGCAGGGGGAGGGTCTACCTTCCGGCCCAGGGTGTGGGCGGCGCAGCCATACACATTCATAACAGTTTGGTTAAAGGCCTCCTCACTCGCCTTTCCCTGGTAATCACAGCCCTCGTGTGGGCTCAGTACAGTTGCCAGGCTCTTTTGCATCCCATGTCTCATTCGGTTTAAGGCTCTTGGCTCTTTTTTGAGGTAAGTAAAGCTAGAGATTGCCGTCTGGTTTGACAGATTTAATTATCTGAGGCTCAGAGAGCAAATGACTAGCCTCAGTCTCCCAGCAAGCCATCAACAGCAGTGCATACCGTGAACATACGTAATATGCATCATTTTACCTACATGTGAATTGTCTGTAGGAAAAATTCCGAGAAGTGGACCCACTTGGTCAGAGGGTATATGTACTTGTGATTTTGACGTAGACACGTTTTGCCAGCTTGCTCTCTGCAGGAAGCCTGCCTCCTTCCCGCAGCCTCTCCAACTCAGTGTGTTACCAAACATGTGGCTTCTTGCCATTCTCACAGATGAAAAATGGAATCTTGGCGTACTTTAATTTGAGTTTCTCTTATTAGGAATGAGAATGGACATTCTTTTCTTATAATTAAGAGCCATTTGTAATTCCTATTCTGTGAGTCTTCTCTTTGTGTCCTTGGGCATGTGCAAATTATGATTTGATGCATCCTGCCAAATAGCCCTTTCCAAAAGGCTGGATGGCTTTGTACTCTGGCCAGCACTGTGTACACATCCCCTTTCCCCCACAACCCCCCTCCCAGTGATCATCTCACGGGCTTGCTGCCCTCTGCCCCTCTCCTTCCCACTTTGCAACCTTCCACCCTGGGGCACTAGGTCCCCCCACAGGCACAGTCTACCTTCCCCAGACAGCTTCCCTCTTAGCAGGTTTTTTCCTGTTGGTTTTTAAGAGCCAGCTATGAGCCAAAATATCGGTGAGACATCCAACTGAATGGATCCCTTTTCCCAGGGCTGCTGGTGCTTTATTCACAGGATGGATGTGTGATGGTAAAATCTCAGCACTGTGGTGAGCCAGCGGCTACTGTGGAGAGAACGTCACTTTAGCCATAAGCAGAAGTCTCATCTGGCATTGCTAGGACTTCAGTAGCTGTGATATAAAATAGCTGGGGAGTAGGCCCAGCAGAACATTTGCTGGGCTCTTGAGATCTGTGAGGATTTTGCCTAGCAGGGAGAGGGCATGTAGACAGCATTGTGATCCTGGAAGCTTTTGAATCTGTTCTGAATACAAATTTATACCAGGACTATACTATCATTGATGAATTTTCACTAGGAAGCCCTTTGGCTTGAATCCTATGAGACTGATTTAATTTGTGTTGCACTGTTACTCCATTTTCAATTCTTTTCCATTTTTATAATTCCAAAATTATTTTGATTGCATTCAGTTCTTTTCCGTGTAAATATTTATCCTTCATCAGCTCTTTACACACATCACATTCTTGCCAACCATAGCATCTGCCATTATAAATTTAATTGTGGCTTTTATTTTTACTGTATTCAAGTCTCCCGTTCAAATTTCTTAAGTTTTGTCACGATTTGCTTCTCCTTGCAGTTCGTATCTCCCTGTGTGCAGTTTTAGCCATTGTCAGTTTTGTTTGTTGCTAGTTTATTTCAACTCACAATATTCATTACCTACTAGGTGAAAGACTAATCATATTTCCCTCTTAGCTAATCTGTAAGAAAAATCCTCATGAAGTGTGAGACTGCTCTGTTGTTACCAGTGTCCAGGTTTTCTTCTCTCGGTTACTCCATACTGGAACGGCCTCTGCCATATGCCATCACCCCAATGTGCCACACGTGCCTGGATTCTTCTCCCTGGACTGTCTCTATCAGAGTCCAGATCTCCTAATGGCAAAATGGTGGGATCAGAGCATCTTGGCCCCGTGGGAGGTGGGCAGCCCACCAGCAGAGATGGCGTTAACAGCATTAGCAAAGCCTTGCAGGGAAACGTGGGTGAGGGCATCAGATTCACACCAGGATCCCTCCTGGAAGCCAAAACCATGCTCCATGGGCTAGGTGCGGTAACTCACGCCTATAATCCTAGCACTTTGGGAAACTGTGGCTGGAGGATCGCTTTAGGCCAGGAGTTCAAGACCAGCCTGGGCAAGAGCAAGACGTTGTCTCTTTAAGAAAAAAAAAAGGTCCACGGTCCCACTGAGCAGGTGCTGTTCTCTCTCCTCTAGAATGCTTCGGACATGCCCGAAACAATCACCAGCCGGGATGCTGCCCGCTTCCCCATCATTGCCAGCTGCACGCTCTTGGGGCTGTACCTCTTTTTCAAAGTAAGTTCCTTTGCCACCTGTTTTGTCATTTAGTTTAAATAACTTTATTTTGTTTTATTTTTCCCATCACAGAAGCCATGCATGTTCATTTATAAAAAATAAACAGCAGCAAAAAATTACTAATTCACCCATAGACCCACCCAGAGGCAACCCACTGTTGTTTTTTTGGGACCCTTTCCCACCAGTCCCTGTTTCTTTTCTCCATGTAGCTTTTTGTTTTGTTTTTGTGATACCAGTTTGGTTTCATTGTACTATTTATGTTGGGATGGGGTATAGGTTGTGTCTCAGACATACCTCTACCATACTAATCGCCTTTTTTTTTTTAATTTATCGAGGTTTATTTTCCCAATAAAAGTTACACAGACTCAGTGTTGCAAACCTGGAAAACACAGGAAAGTAAAAAGGGAAATACAGCAATCATCCAAAACCCCACTACCAGAGACAATCAGAGTTTCCCTTTGGAGGTGTGTCCTTCCACTGTTTTTCCCTGTGCATGGTTCCTCCATAGCTGTGACCACATGGTGTATTCAGTTTGTAGCTGCTTTTCTCACTTCACATTAATAACATCATAAGCATTTTCTCATGTTACTGCCAACTCTCCTCAATATAACTGTACTCTCTTCTGGATTTTCTGAATTATAAAAGTAACTTACAGAAAACGTAAAGATATATTAAGAGAGGGATAAATAAATCCCACAACACAGAGGTAGTCCCTGTTAACATTTTGTCATAGGCTTTTTATAAGCGTATGTTTAACATTAGAATCCTGTTATAACTATATGTTGTATCTTCTTGTTTTTTTAATAGTACGTCACAAGTGTTTTTTTCCCTGGTCATTGAAAATTCCACAAGAATGACTTTAATTTACATTTTAAAAATACATGTACATGTTTAAAAATTTTTTTCAACCTAAGGAAAGGTACAAATGAGTGATAATCCTCTGCCCAATATAGTTTCTTGTGAATCTGTTATACATAAACCTATATTTTTGTTAAAATATTTAAATATGTAAAGCATATGATTCTTTCCACAGAGATATTTTTGTATCAGCTCAGTCAAATCTACCCCATTTTTTAAACAACTACTCATGGTTCTGTTTTATAATGTATCCCTGAGGGTATTTAAGTGTGTCCATGGTTGAAGTAACATAGTAGTATCGCCATGAATATTTTCTTTTTTTTAATAAGATTCTTAAGGCCATGCTGCGTTGCCATGAATATTTTCATGCACATATTTCGTGCACGTATTTTCTTCAGGTATATCTATCTACAGTAGAACTACCGGGGTCAAACAGCATCTCCTCCCCCCTGCCCCCAAGAGATGGGGTCTTGCTCTGTCACCCAGGCTGGAGTGCCATGGCATGATCATAGCTTATTGCAACCTCCAACTCCTGGGCTCCAGTGATCCTCTCACCTCAGCCTCCTGAGTAGCTGGGGATATAAATACTCGCTACCATGCAAGGCTGATTTTTTTTTTTGAGAGAGAGATGGGGTCTTGCTGTGTTTCCCAGTCTGGTCTTGAATTCTTGGGCTCAAGTAATCTTCCTGCCTCAGCCTCCCTCAGTGGGATTGCAGGTGTGAGCCACTGTACCTGGCCTACATCCCCATTTTTAATACCTACTTCCTATTCCATAGCTCCCTCATTGTTTGATCAGAAATATCTTTTTAATGGCTTCAGAATATCCCCACAAGCAGATATAGTATAATTGACTTATGGCATTCTCCTCATTTTAAACAGAAACTGTCATTCTGATTTTTACTCTTGTAAATAAGAGTGTATTAAATAATACTGAATAATCACTGTTTTTTTTTTTTCTATTTTTCCTGGACCTGGGGTGAAGAGCTGAATTTATCCAATGCCTTGGTTCATAGCATACCATCCTCAGTCCATGCCAGGAACCCCCATGTTTTTTCCCTCTTCACCCCAATACCCACCTCCATTTCCCACCTTCATTTCCCTCTCTGCCAGAGATGCCTGCTCTAATGTGTTTGATTTATGTCCTTAGATATGTATGTTTCTTATAGAATATGTGGTGTTGGTGTATCTGTGTGTATGAGTGAACGTTGAGTTTCCGTGAATAAAACTGTGCAATGCATCTTTGTTTCCTTTTCCTCTCCCCTCTACTTTTGAGCTCTCTCTGTGGCTCTGTGTACGTGTAGCCCATTGCTTCTGACTTTGCATTTGGCAGATATTTCTCAAGTCTCTGCTGTGCTAAGCACCAGGAATATACACCCAGTCCCTTGCCTCTCCAAGACCTTCTGACATTTTCAGTATTTAGGATTCTTTGCTTAGGCCAGATGTCCCAAAAAGAAATTTCTGGCAGCAGTGGGTGTGACCTTTCTTATTTAAGGAACTGGCTTCCTGTTGCTCAGCCTTTTCCTCCTCTCTGGGCAGGTAAGCCCCGGCCTGCTTTGTGCAGGGGCACAGTGCATACCTCTTCCCTGTGCCTCTAGAGTGTCTATGCTAAGATTTCTAAAAGGCAACTTCCTCCTGGACAGTGCAGCCACTGGGCTCCTCCTGAACTCCAGCCTGATGGCTGGTAGGTTGGTTTGCTTAACAGAAAAACAGCTACCACAGTAGCTCTTCCTCAGCCCCTTTCCTCCCCTCCTCCCAAGTGGGCACTAGCATTTGTAACTGTGTAGTAAATTTTTAACACTTCATATTTTCCTGATGCCTCAACATCCCCACAGACAGGCTGTGAGCATCCCACAAGGTAACCAGGTACACCACTGTGATAACACGGGTCCCTGCCACAAGTTCCCCTTCTTGCCTCCCTGCCGCAGCGACTGTGGCCTAGTGCCATTTAGACATACACGAAAGTCCTCTCAAGCCTTTTGCTTGTGTGCTGCACCCTGACTCCCAAGAAAAGCTCTTGTCCATGGGTCTTCCTCTCTAGGACCTGGGAGTATGATAAGTCCTTTCATTGCATAGGCCTCTCTGAGGGACTTTCCACCTGAGTTTAGAATGATCGCATCCTCATCGCCAATTGTGTTGCGGGTAGGGGAGTAAGTCCCCTTTGTGGGGTCTCTTAAGGACCACTCCAACACACCCATGGAAATTACGCTCAGAAAGGCATATGAAATGAAAGGATCTACACTCACAGGTCCTACAGAGGGAGGCATGGCATGCCACACAGGGGCCACATGGGAGGAGCTACCAGGGAGCCACTCAGTCAAGCAGGTGGAGAAAGAGGGGACGAGGACCCCTGGGTGAGCACCTTTATGGCAAGGGCCATAGGTGTGGCTCTGACTTTTTAGCAGCCCAGAGTACAAAGGAAAGTGAGACTTGATGTCCTATGCACATGGTCCATGCAGTCAAACCAACCAGAAGCTCAAAGGTGTGGCTTGAGAGAGATTTTTCCTGAGGGCCCACATTGAAGGAACACAATGTGAGAGGTACACATCTTCGTAAATAAACACAATCCATATGCCTACAAAATATCCTCATAGCTCTATTTCTTGAGGCCTTCACATAGGCCCCCAACTTACTCATCCATGCAGTCATTCTGCTTTTATCGAGTGCCTGCTAATTCAGGTCTTGTGCTGGGGATACCAAAGCAAGGAAAACAGCCAACCATCCCTGTGCTCAAGGAGCGTCTGTTTAGTAGTGGAGACAGACACCAATCACACAGATAGATGTGAAGTTACAGCTCTGAGAACCGCTGTGAAGGCAAGGTCCTTAGTGCCAGGAAAGCACAGAAGAACCAGCCTCAGGTAAAGCCCCATTCTTGCCCAAGCTCCCATGCAAGATAACAGCACCTCTATCTGCCTAGCTGCTCAGTCAGAACCCCAGGAATCATCCTTGTTCCTGCCCCCTCAGCCCTCACATCCAGCCCCTCCACACACCCTACAACTCCAATCCAAGAACAGATCTAGAATCGTTCCACTGCTCATCACTTTCCCTCCGTGCCCCAGTCTAGGACACCTTCCCCTTCTGCTGGGTTATGCGATGCCCTCCTCATTGGCTCCCTATTTCTACTCCTGCCCTGTGGGATCTTCCATACAGCAGCAGATGGGTCCTCTCATGCTGTCTGATCATGCCACACCCCTGCCCTTAGCACTCCAGTACCTGTCTCACCTGGGTGAATCTAAAGTCTTTGAATTGGGAGCATTGTGACAGAGAATATTTCTCAATTTCACCTAACAGTAATAAGACCAAGAAGCAGCTATCAGGGCTGCTTTTGTAACTTCCAGCTGTCACTACAGGAGGAGTCATCAGGAAAGCAGGGCATGGAGGATGGAGCAGGCACGCAGATGTCTTTTAGCCAGCAGGCCTGGGGCCTGGGTGGCCACTCTCTAGGGGCCCCCTAGGTTTCTGAACAGAGAGAAGGAAACATGGAAGAGCAAGTTCTGAGGTTCCAACAGTTCTCTTGGGGCTCTGTACTTCAGACACCCCGGTTCCCCCAGAACCCTTATGCAGGACACAAACTCAAAAATTGCCTGTCTCCATATACGGAGCCACCAAACATAAACCTAGAGACTCCTTTGGGAGATATACCTGGGGGCTTGAGGTTCCCCCCTTTTTTCCCACAGCTGCAAACACTACAAGGCCTCTAGTACTGTCTAAGATAATTCCTGACCGTCCCCCAATTCCAGAAGGGTGAGACCAACCTCCAGAAGAGAAATGGGGACTCTGGTTTTCTCCTAGCCACCAGCAACCCTGACTTACTGTTTCTCTTTCTATTTTTGCTCAGATATTCTCCCAGGAGTACATCAACCTCTTGCTGTCCATGTATTTCTTCGTGCTGGGAATCCTGGCCCTCTCCCACACCATCAGGTCAGAAGGCACCTCTCTGCAACATTTGAAGCAGCTTTCTCAGGAGCCAGTACAGGGTCTCGGATGAGAACATGACCTTTGCCGTCACTCAGAGCCAGGTTTAAATCCTGGCTGTAAAACTCCAGGGACTCTTTCCCCTGTGTCACACCGTAGATGACCAGGACAAGAACTATAACCTCTCTGGGCTACAGTTTCCTTACAGGGAATGATAAGAGTCTATGGTGGGTGTCTCCCACCACTACAATTGTTGGGAAAGTTATTTGTGGATAATAATTGGCGATACTGAGGTGAGTGATACCAGTGCCACCTGCCAGGTGTTGTGGCCTGCTGTGTACCACGCAGTATTCTGGGCTCCTCACACCTGGTCTTATAAGGAGAGTGAGGCAGTGTGGTAAGAAGTTAGGAGTGTGGGCCAGCCGTGGTGGCTCACGCCTATAATCCTAGCACTCTGGGAGGCTGAGGCAGGAGGATCGTTTGAGCTCAGGTGTTCGAGACCATCCTGAGCAAGAATGAGACCCTGTCTCTACTATAAATAGAAAGAAATTAGCCAAACAACTAAAAATAGAAAAAAATTAGCCGGGCATGGTGGCGCATGCCTGTTTTCCCAGGTACTCGGGAGGCTGAGGCAGGAGGATCGCTTGAGCCCAGGAGTTGAAGGTTGCTGTGAGCTAGGCTAATGCCACGGCACTCTAACCCGGGCAACAGAGTGAGACTCTGTCTCAAAAAAAAAAAAAAAAAAAAGTACTTTTCTTTAATTAAAAAAAAAGAAGAAGAAGAAGTTAGGAGTGTGGGCTCTGGAATTTGACTACCTGACTTTGAATCCAGACCCTGCCACTCTGTGACCTGGGACAAGTTAGTTGATATTTCTGGCCTCAATTTCTTCACAAATGTGGAGAAAAATAATAGTACCATCCTTGTGGGGTCATGTGGAAAGCTTTTAGCACAGTATCTGGCACTTAATGTGTTCAGTAAGTTTAACTGCTGCTGTTGCCTGTGTCCACCTGCCAGACAACATTATATGACTAGCTTTTACTTTTAATCCTATGTCACAGTCAGAAAACTGAAGCTCAGAGAGGTTAAGAAATTTGCTAGGATCACACAGCTGATAAGCAACAAAGCCAGGATTCAAACCCAGGTGTGGCCCCAGGGCCCATCCTCCTCCCCACTGCCACCCTGCTCAGACTGTCACACGTTCATGTCATTTCAGTGGGGATGAGTGATAAAGGCCAATGTTCCTCGGGGACCTGCGATTGGTATTTTGGCCAGTTCTCTACTGTGCAGGACTATCCTGTGCGTTATAAACATTTGGCACCCTTGTCCTGCTCACAAATGGCAGTAGTGCCACCACCCTTGCCTCAGCTTGTGACTACAAAGATGTCCCAGCATGTTTCTGTCTGCCCCTCTTGAAGTGGTACAGCCTCAGGCCGAGAACCACTAATAAATCAAGAGGTAGCCAGCAGACCAGAGAAAATTCCCAGAGGGAAGAAACTTGACTTGAACTCAGCTTTGAAGGCAGGAAACCTGAAAGAGGTAGGTGCAAAAGAGAGAGAGGTCAGGCCAGGAGCTGGATGGTTTGTGCACATTGAGGGCACAGTCAGAGTAGACACAGAAAAAGCTAGAGAGAAAGAGCAGGATGTGCTCACCAAGGCTTTGGAAGCTGAGGTGAGTGTGGTCTCGTTACTCCAGGCACTCTGGCAGGACGATGTGGTAGTCAGGAGTGTGAGCTCAAAACAGGCAACCCTGGGACCAAGGCCTGGCTCGGCCAGCTCTATAATTTGTATAAGTTACTCAAGCTCTCTGAGCATCAGTCTTTCCACCTATAAATGGAGAGACTGCAAGTACCTCCTCAGAGGTAGGAAGGCTCAGATGAGCCTCCGTAATGTCCCAAGAGCACACAGTGAGTTGAGTGGCTGGCCCAGGGTTACACAGAACTTCAGCTGTGGTCCTCTGACTGAGGTCAGTGTTTTCTTCACCTACACTGACCCTTCACTCCCAAAATCTTACTCTAGCTAGCTCAGGAGAATTCTAGTCCAGCCCCACATCCTGAAAAATGAAGGCCCAGAGTGACTTGAACCAGTAAGATAGTGGCAGGCCCAGTCACCCTTGCTCAAAGGACATACCTGTCGTTTCATGGTGGACCTGAGGTAGGGTAGAGGCAGTCACTTCCAGGCACTGGATCCCTCCTTTCCTACACTGACTAGCATCCTCCCTTCCTCCAACTCTAGTCCTTTGTACCCCAGCATCTGTGAGAAGCTTGAGACCCCTGGTTCTCCCTACTCAGCCCCTCAGAGTGAGAGAACCCAATGTGTGTAGAAAGCCACTCTTGGGCCATAGGCTGAGGAATTGATTATTTATCTCAACAACTTTACAGATGCAATCTTCTCTACCCAACTGCTCAAGCAGGGTATTTTTAACCTCTATCATTTTGACACCAGAGACTTTTTTTTTTTTTTTTTTTGCCTTTTAGAGCAATAACTAAGGGACATTATCCCAAATTTCTCATAGATTAGCCAAGAAACAATTGTCTGTCTTTTAACCAATTCAAAATTTTGAGAGATAGACATTATCAACAGAAAATAAAACCAACAGCAGCTAAAAGTGTACATGGTAACATTTGTTAGTGACTAGAAACTAACAGAAGATTCATTTTCCTAATGAAATTCAGAGCAACAAAATTTGACCTGGGAAAATCATACCTTGTAAACTGTTGATGGCTCTGGGCAGAAGTGGTGCTCACCATACAGGGGGGCCAAAGGTGTCCACTGAAAAATCTAATAGTGACCACAAACTATTGGGTGATTGAGATCGTACTATAAAATTTACATGGGAAAGAATGGAATCTGATGGAAATAATTTTAGTAAAGGGAGGGGATCTTTTAATCATGCTTTTTAGAAAGTCAACCCAAGAATTAAATTGACTTTTCTTCAATTAAATTGAGTTTCCTTACATATTTTCTCAAAGAAAGTCTATAGTGTTGTTAGAATTTACATGAGCTGCTGGTATCTACAGACTTGGAGTCAGACTTTCTTCAGGATCCAAACAAGGTCCAAAGGTTCAAGACGTGAAAATTGAGGCTCGGAGAGGTTATGGGGTTATATGGACTCCCAGAATTCACATTCACAGCTGGTAAGGGCGGAGCGAGGTTTTGACCCTGGATCTGTGTGATTCTAAAGCCAGTATTCATTACGGTTTGGGCAAAAGTGAAGGGGAAGGGAGAATTTAAAGAGGGTGGGCTGGCCACCCTCTCCTGTGGGACCTGCAGTCTCCTGGGGTTGGCAGAAGAGAGGCCGCTGAAAGGCTGTGAAGAGCTGCACCCGAGCTGAGATTCTCTTAGGATCCCCTCCGCCTCCACCACCATCCCCTAGCCCACCTCAAGCCTCTTTGGGAACAAACCACAGCTTGGAGTATTGGAGGGAGGCAGGGGCCCATAGCCTGCCTTCGCCTCGTACAGTCACCAAGACTCAAGTCCAAGCCAAATCCTAGACATCCCCCCTGCCAAGGGAACCTCTGTTTATTTTCATCCTGTCTGACTGAGCTCATGCCCCACACAGCTAACCTTTAGAGGGAGAAAAGGCCTAGAGGGCCCAAATCTGCCACCCCAAGAGGAAGAGGCCACATCACCAGTTTCACTGACCCTTGCTTTCCACCCCCAGGGGAGAAAGGCACCAGGAGGTAGTTTCTCAGCAGGAAGAAGTGACCATTAGGTTTCATGTGAGCCATCAAGGACCAGAAAGAATCTCTGCCTGCTCCAAAAAGTCTGTGTTCAGTCGTTCAGCAAGCATTTATCAGATGTCTCCCAGGCACCAGGCAGCTTCACACCAGGGTGGGGTGAAGACGATGACAGGGCCCCTGCCCTCAAGTCCACAGACTCGCACTTGACTCTTCCCCTATGTCATCCAGCAGCCCCTTTTTTCTTGGAGTAACAAAGGCATCAGTCTAGAGACTTTCTACTTGAAGTTAAAGCTGCAGTTAAGCTTACAGGGTGCCAAGTACTCATTTAATTATTTTAGTAGCCCCACAAAGAAAGGTATTGTTGTGTTCCAGATGAGATTGTTGCACAGAGCAGTTAAGTAACGTTCCCAATATTATACTGCTAATAAGTGGAAGAGCTGGGATTTGAACCCAGAGACCACATTCTTAGCCATCACACTCTGCTTATTGAGAAACTAAGCACCAAGCTCCTAAGGAAGAGGCCAGCTAAGCTGAGTAAAGGGCTTAGCTCCTCAGGCCGCCTCTTTGCCTCTGCCCATACCCATACACATGCCCTGACTTCAGACTCCCTCAAAAGTGATTCAGCAAACCAAGCTGAAAGTAGCTTCTAGCTTCCTCCACCAGCCTCTGCCTCCCATCTGAGAGCCCTGCTGCGGAAGTCCATTCCTGACTCCACCCTCGTGTCTGCCACATCTCCGTTCACAAAGCCCTCACATCGTTCATACCATGAGCCCCACAGGTGGGGAGGGGTCAGCTGTTTGAAAAGTGGGGAAATGGAGGCCTGTTAGTTGGGAGGGTCATTCCTGGACTTGCCTCCCTCATTAGTCATTATCAGCTTCATCTGATGTCAAATGCTTTCAAGCTCAGGCTCTGGAGGAGTGTGCCACAGAAGCTCACAGTTCCTGCATCCCTGCTGTAGGCCCAGTGCTGGGCTAAGCTTCTCACCTGCCTTCTCATATCTTCACAGCAAACTCTTTTAGAAGGTGTTAATATTATCCCTTCATACAAGAAAACAGATGATGGCCCAGGAGACTGAGTCACTTAAGTGGCTCTCCCAGGGCCACACAGCTGGTACATGGCAAAGCAGGCTTCAGGGCTGGGCCACCTAAGCTTGTAGCCATTCCACAGCACTGCTGGGAGCAGATGGATCAAGACACCCTGGTTTGCTAATCTTGCTCTGAAGATGATCCAGAAAAGAACATCTCCATCCCTGCCTGGCCAGGAAGTAGGGCGTGCTGGGTAATCAATATTTCTAGAGGTGAAGCCAAGCTGATCTTGAGCAATAGAACCCTTTGTGGATGGATTGAATGTGAGGGTGATCGTGTCCTGGGGGGCTGAGATTCATCTGACTGAGCAATTCCAGCTGAGTTTATAAAAATCTCAGGCCTTTTGCTGGATAGCAGAATGACAAATCATAGAGTGGGGTAGAGGTGACCATCGGGTCATCTGACTTGATAGGTCTGGAAGGGAATCCTGGAATATGCTTAACAAGAGACTCATACAGGTGGTGCATGGGTTAGACGTTGGGATCCATTGATCTCCTAAAAACTATATTTTACATGAAAGTCTGTCTGCCTCTGCTTTGTATTTCTTCAGTGGTAACAAAAAGGCAGTTTGGGAATCACTAGTTCAGTGGCCTACCTTGGAGCCTCAGCTTAGATATTGACTCGTGTGACCCTGGGCAAGTCACTTATTCTCTGAGGGCCTATTTCCACATCTAGAGTGGAAACAATAACACTTAGCTATCAGGGCGGTTGTGAGGGTACCAGGAGATAACAGCTGTAAGTGGCTGTTGGGGAGGGGGTACCGTTAGGGCCGTGACTGCTCATGGGGGCTCTGTTTGCCGACTTGCTTTGTCTTTCCTTCCAGCCCCTTCATGAGTAAGTTTTTTCCAGCCAGCTTTCCAAATCGGCAGTACCAGCTGCTCTTCACCCAGGGCTCTGGGGAGAGCAAGGAAGGTCAGTGCTGCCCACTTTCCCCTGTGGTGTACCCTAGCTGTTTTCCACCACCATTCCCCTCATCTTTCCAATACTGGGATTCTCCAGTACAGCAAGTTATGAAAGAGGTGGGCTCTGGGATCTCATGGCCTGGATTCACATCCCAGCTCTGCTGCTACCTAGACATGGGACCTGGGTGAATGCCTTACCTCTCTGAGCATTGGTGTTTTTGTTTTTTTAATCTGTAAAATGAAAATGATAATCTACCTCCTTCATGGGCATGTTGTTAGGACTGCAAGTAAATGATGAGTGGAAAGCATTCAGCACACTGCCTGACTCAAAGCACTTAGTAAAAGTTGACCCTTGCCACTATTTTTATTGTGTTTATTTTTAGTGTGATTACATTCCACCTAAGATTTGAAAAGGGAGTCTCACAGTTCTTTTTCAAAAATGAAAACTACGGGGAATTGGGAGGAGCCTAGGATTTACAGGTTAGTTAGGGTGCGAATTCAAATGCTGTAGTAAGGTTATCAATGGCTTGACCAAGTGGAAGATACCTAGCAGTCTCACACTGGTGCACGGCATATTCTGCCTTGTCCCTAGAAAGCAGTGATTTTATGTGATTCCTTTTTGCATCTCAAGTGCATCTGTGTCAAATAAATGATCATAGAGTTCCATTAAGAGAGCTAAGCTTACGACCACAGAGCCTCCCGGGTTCCAGCTCCCATCCGTCTTACGCTCCGCCATGTTCAGGGGTGGTCCTTGGATCCACGATGGTGACCATCGCGCCGCTGTCCAACCAGGGGGAAAGAAACATTCATATCCGGGGCCAATTAAGCGGCAGAGGGGAAGCTGGAAAATGGCCGTGAGTCGGCCTCATGTCCAGTTGGAAATCATCACGGAGTGCCCCGGAATTGTATCACTTCTTGCTTCCCAAGTCCCGCCCCTTTCATCGACCCCCACTGAAGAGGACTCGGTAGTCTGAAGAACAGTGTACAGAGCGCCGCCATGACGTGGACTTCGGAGGACCGGAAGTGGTCAGATTTCATAGAGCCGTAAAGCGCGGCTGCCTGCCTCGGTTTCCGGTTGGCGACAACGGTTCAGACCATCGGCACAGGCTTTGGCGTAAGGAACGCTGCTCGACCGCTGCCGGTTTCGTTTCTTACCCTTTCCGGGCCTTTCCTTGCCATCGCCCGTTTCACCTTGGATCATGTTCAAGAAATTCGATGAAAAGGAAAATGTGTCCAACTGCATCCAGTTGAAAACCTCAATTATTAAGGGTATTAAGAACCAACTGATAGAGCAGTTTCCAGGTATTGAACCATGGCTTAATCAAATCATGCCTAAGAAAGATCCTGTCAAAATAGTCCGATGCCACGAGCATATGGAAATACTTACGGTAAATGGCGAATTACTATTTTTTAGACAAAGAAAAGGGCCTTTTTATCCAACTCTAAGGTTGCTTCATAAATATCCTTTTATCCTGCCACACCAGCAAGTTGATAAAGGAGCCATCAAATTTGTACTCAGTGGAGCAAATATCATGTGTCCAGGTTTAACTTCTCCTGGAGCCAAGCTTTACCCTGCTGCGGTCGATACAATTGTTGCAGTCATGGCAGAAGGAAAACAGCATGCTCTGTGTGTTGGGGTCATGAAGATGTCTACAGAAGACATTGAGAAAGTCAACAAAGGAATTGGCATTGAAAATATCCATTACTTAAATGATGGGCTGTGGCACATGAAGACCTACAAATAAGCCTCAAAGGAATGCACTTGGGGGGCCAAATATGGATATTGTAATTTATATGTGTTTGTGTGTGTGTGTGACAACGTGAAGACAATACCTCTGTGGTTATTCTAAGTAAATTTAACAGATGCTTGAAGGGAAGAAATCAGGGTGCTGTTACCACAGTGGAGAAAACAAATTGGGGGACAAGCAGCAAGCAGCCTGTTACACTCTGGAATCTGAAAGGAACAGCTACACTCTGTGACTCTGAGCAAGCTTCATCTCCTCTGTGGGCTCCCTTATTTGAAAGTGATCAAGATTGGCTCTGAGGATGTCTGCCAGAGGGCCCCCCACAAGAGCAGCCTTGGGGACTCCTCCCCGCCTTTTCTCCAGGCCTCCATCTCTCACCTTATTCCTCCTCTGCTAGTGAACTAGGGCTGCCAGCAAACTTCTTGATTCCTTTGGTGGCAAAGTAGAAAGGTTTCGGAATGAACTAGGACCTTGCTAAAAACCTGGGCTCAATGGCAGCTGGCATTGACTGAACATCTGCTGTGTGCCAGGCACTGTGCTGAGTGCATTGTAACAGCTGTCTTACTCCCCACAGCAGCCCTATGAGGGAGGTGCTATTATCACCTTTTCACGGATGAGGAAACAAGCTCAGAGAGGGAACTGCCTCCCCAAAGGTTACCCAGCCCCAGCTACAAGTGGCAAATCCTGTACTTTCAACACTAAGGACCACTTCCCACTGACCCTGCACCAGGCTTGTATTCTCTGGGCCTCCGTTCCCTTCTCTAGGATATTGGAGGAGTTAGGGTGGCTCCAGTGAGCTCTCTTCCCTCCTGAAACTCTTACCGATCTGAGGCAGCCAAGGCTTAGCCTCCTAGCCTGTGGGACTCTGACAGTGCCCACAGCCATGCCCTCCTCTGTCCAGGGGCTGACAGGTGGGAGGGGCAGCCCCACCCTGGGGAGTGGACTTACTCGGCCTCTCTGTTCAGAGATCATCAATTACGAGTTTGACACCAAGGACCTGGTGTGCCTGGGCTTGAGCACCATCGTTGGTGTCTGGTACCTGCTGAGGAAGGTAAGTAACCAGGTCCTGGGCAGAAGGGGAGGCTGGAGTGACAGGGGAGGGTCGGGGCACAGCAAGCTGGTCTTACTCCTGTCTTTCCCCAGCACTGGATTGCCAACAACCTTTTTGGCCTGGCCTTCTCACTTAACGGGGTAGAGCTCCTGCACCTGAACAATGTCAGCACTGGCTGCATCCTGCTGGGTGGACTCTTCATCTATGATGTCTTCTGGGTGAGTCAGACAGGGAGCCCCAGCATGTCCAACTTTGGGGCCCCCTCACCTTCCTACTCCCCTGCCTCTGTGGCCTAAGTGACATTAGTATGATGGAGAGCATCTACCTTGGAGTGGAAGTCAGGATCCCAGAGCAGGTCCCCTCTGGGCCCATCTGTGAAATGGAGCCAGAGAGAACAGATTACACCTCTTTCTAAAAGCACATTCTGTGTGCATTGCCTTCCGAACACCCTCACGTCTTCCTCATGGTGGCCCTAGCAGGGATATTACTTAATCCCATGTCTCCTCAGCAAGCAAGTCGAGATTTGGAGTTGAGACTCAGAGAAGTCCAGGCAGGGTAATAGAATGCTAATGAATGGGCCCAGCAAGGGCACCGACCGAGGAGGAAGAGGCTGGCTGTGCTCTGGCTGCACACCAGGCCTGGGCTGGGGAACCTGTCATACTCACACATAAGAGGCATTGCAGAGGGATCACGGTCAGCCTGACTCGGCCCCTGTTCCCTGATCCCAAGCAGCTTCTTTTCTTCTTGAGTAGGTGGTGCTGGAAGACTTTATCACTTGGGAGGGACAGAACCCTGAACAAACATAGGCTGCCTGGCTTAGGCCATTGGAAGTCCTTTCTATACTCTGAATTTCCCCTTTGTTGCCCAGAACCAATATGAGTGCTCACCTCACCTCAACTTTAGATCTGCACTGGAGCCCCTCGCAGTTCCCTACCCTTCTCCCCACAGATCTCAGGCAGCTGCACATCTAGAAGCCCAGGGACAGCCATTCTCTCCCATCCACCCCCTCACTTCCCTCCAAACTCCTCTCCTCCTTCTAGGTATTTGGCACCAATGTGATGGTGACAGTGGCCAAGTCCTTTGAGGCACCAATAAAATGTAAGTGACCACCCCCACCACGGGGAACCCCTCTGCCCACCCCAGCTAGCCCATGCCCTCGCAGTCCCTCTTTTGGTCATTGCCTCTCCCTTATCTCCTTCCCACATACCTCTTCCTTCTCCAAGCTTTCCTGTGTCCCTCCAGCCTGGCGTCCTTCTCAGTGATTCATCTGGCTGTTTTCACAAGCAGCCACTCCCTGCCTAGGCCCTGGCCTCTGGCCCCTTGGTCACAGTGCAGCATGGTGTGAGATGAGCTAGAATGGGAGCAAGCATGGAGGGGAGGTGTTTAACCCAGCCCAAGTGGGACACTCAGGGACCTCTGTGTTGAGACCTGAAGCTTCCCTACCTGGGATCCCCTCAGCACCTGGCTATCAGGTGCTGTCTGTCTATCTTACACCTCTCACACTGCCTTGGTTTTGTTCTTTAGTGCATCTGTTTATTGTTCAGAAAATCCAACTACAGGTTGAGCATCTCTAATCCAAAAATCTGAAATCCAAAATTTTTTTTTTTTTTTTTTTTGAGACAGAGTCTCACTTTGTTGCCCAGGCTACAGTGAGTGCCATGGCATCAGCCTAGCTCACAGCAACCTCAAACTCCTGGGCTCAAGTGATCCTTCTCCTCAGCCTCCGAGTAGCTGGAGCTACAGGCATGCGCCACCATGCCCGGCTAATTTTTTTGTGATATATATTTAGTGGCCAATTAATTTCTTTCTATTTATAGTAGAGACGGGCGTCGCTCTTGCTCAGGTTGGTTTCGAACTCCTGAACTCAAACGATCCGCCCGCCTCGGCCTCCAGAGAGTAGGATTACAGGGTGGGCAAAGCCAGCCGGGCCGGGCTGAAATCCAAAATTTTTTGAGCATCAACATGACACAAGTGGAAAATTCCACACATAAGTACTTAACACAAACTTTATTTCATGCACAAAATTATTTAAAATATTGTATAGAGCTGGGCTTGGTGGTGCACACCTGTAGTAACAGCTGCTTGGGAGGCTGAGGTGGGAGGATCACTTGAGCCCAGGAGTTCAAGGCTGCAGTGAGCTACAATCATGCCACTGCACTCCAGCCTGAGCAAAGGAGCAAGACCCTGTCTCTTAAAAAATAAATAAATAGGCCGGGCGCGATGGCTCACGCCTGTGATCCTAGCTCTCTGGGAGGCCGAGGCGGGCGGGTTGCTCGAGGGCAGGAGTTCGAAACCAGCCTGAGCAAGAGCGAGACCCCGTCTCTACTATAAATAGAAAGAAATTAATTGGCCAACTAATATATATATACAAAAAATTAGCCGGGCATGGTGGCGCATGCCTGTAGTCCCAGCTACTTGGGAGGCTGAGGCAGGAGGATTGCTTGAGCCAGGAGTTTGAGGTTGCTGTGAGCTAGGCTGACGCCACGGCACTCACTGTAGCCTGGGCAACAAAGTGAGACTCTGTCTCAAAATAAATAAATAAATAAGGCCAGGCACAGTGGCTCACGCCTGTAATCCTAACATTCTGGGAAGCCGGGGTGGGTGGATCACTCAAAGGTCAGGAGTTCGAAACCAGCCTGAGCAAGAGCGAGACCCTGTCTCTGCTAAAAACAGAAAGAAATTAATTGGCCAACTAAAAATACATAGAAAAAATTAGCCGGGCATGGTGGCGCGTGCCTGTAGTCCCAGCTACCAGGGAGGCTGAGGCAGGAGGATTGCTTGAGCCCAGGAATTTGAGGTTGCTGTGAGCTAGGCTGACACCACTGCACTCTAGCCTGGGAGACAGAGTGAGACTCTGTTTAAAAATAAATAAATAAATGAAACAAATAAATAAAAAATATAATGTGCAAAATTACTTTCAGGCTATGTGTATAAGGTATATATAAAACATAAATGAATTTCCTGTTTAGATTTGGGTCTCATCCCCAAGATATCTCATTATCTATATGCAAATATTTCAAAATCCAAAAAAATCCGAAACATTTCTGGGCCCAAGCATTTCAGGTAAGGGATACTCAGCTTGTATAAGAAGCATTGTCAAGGGAAATTTTGTTATCTTACACTATAACAAGCCCAGGGTAGAAGGCTGAGGCTGGGTTAATGACCCTCAGTGATGCCATTCAAGAGCCAAGATCACTTCAGACCTCCCGTCCCACCATTCTCAGCATCTCCACCTGTCCCTTAGCTCATTACTTCATGGTCCCAAGACGGCTGCCACAGTCCCTAGCATTGACTCCTCGCACAGCCATGTCCAGAGACAGAAAAGGAAAACTGTCTTTTTCATCAGGGATATTTTTCCCCAAATCCCTTGTACAGTTTTCCTCATATTTTATTGGCCAAATTGGGTCACAGTCCAAACCATTCATTAGTAAGGGGGATGGGAGGAGCATGATTAGCTTAAAAGTCCAAGCCTTAGACTAGTCAAGAAGCACTACATGGGATCACAAGGCTCAAAAAGGGGGACAAAATCATTCGGGCATGACAAGAAAAAGAGGAAGACGCATTCAGCAGTGCACGAGTGCCATGGAAGCACTGGCTGGAGGCAGGCGGCAGTCAGTGGGAGGTCCTCTTAGGGAATCAAGAAGTACCTGTCTTTCTCATGGATTCATTCTCTGCCACTGCAGACAGGTTTTCTTCGTGTACTGGGGAGGGTTTCCTGGCCACAAACTGTTCCTGAATTCTGTGGTCCCAGCTCAGTGAGCCTGAAGGAAAACAAGTTTCTCCCAGCTTTGGACTGAATAACCTACAGGGCCTGGCTTGGCCGAGAGCCAGATATTCCCCCAGGGGAGATGGAGGATCGTGATGGACAGGCTAGGGTCACAGCCCTCTCCAGTGCCTCGGGGCAGAGCGTTTGAATTGGCAGGCCCTCAGAGCCAAGTGTATAAGGGGAGGGCAGTTCTCCAGAGCAAGGGAACAGATGCTGGGCAAGCCAGAACAACAGTTACTCCCCATGTGCTTTGATGGATGAGCCCAGGGGGTGTGGGAGCACCGAGAACCCAGCCAAGGTGTCAGGAAAAGCTTTTCTGGGTCATGAAGGATGAATACGCATTTGCCAAGCATGCAGGGGCAGTATGTGTGTTTGAAAGAGAATGCACAGCTTCAGCAGAAGGCTGGAGGCAGGAAAGTGCATGGAGGGCCCTAGGAGCAGAGAATCAGGGATGGAATGTGGCCAAGTTCAGGGGACCAGCAACTAAGTTCTGGGGGAATGAGCTGGAAAGAGGTGGGCAGAGGCCAGAATTGGGGAAGCCAAGGATGCCATGCCAGGGAGCTTAGACACTGCCCGATAGGCAGTGGATGAACAGGGAAATGACACCATCATATTTGGTTTTTGATGCTTGGGGTCTGGTGTTCTGGGTTGAAGAGAAGACTCATTGCCTTCCACTGCTAGGACTAGAGTTCAGAGGCAGAAAAACAGAATAGTTAAGTGCACCTACGCTGAAATCAGGCTGCCTGGGCTTGAATCTCAGCTCTGCCACCTGCTAACTGTGTTGCCATGGGGAGGAGACTTAACCTCTCTGAGCTCTGGTTTCCACATCTGTAAAATGGAGACAGTAGTCTCTGCCATTCAGAGTTGAATGGTACCAGGGTTGAGAGGATTGAATGAAGAAATCCGTAAATCACTGTGTATTGCCCACTCAAGGCAGGAAGAAGCAGGCAGGACAAGGACATCTATACATTTATTAGAGAAGCAGAAGTTTACCCCGAACCCCTATTGTACCTCTGTGTACATACTGTTAGCCAGAGTCATATGACCACCCCTGGCTGCAAGGGAAGTCAGGAATTCAGGGGACAGGATTGTCCTGATTGACTTAGTCTGACGCCATACTTGATATATCACCTGGGAAGGCTGCCCCGCACAAAGTCAGGACTGGGTTAGTAAGGAAGGCCTGGGGGAGTAGTTAATTTGTGCGGATCATCTAATCCTCACCAGTACCCCGTGGGATCGATCCAGCAGGATTTGTGAGTGGGGGGCTTTAAGCAAGAAATTTGCAGATATGTGGCCTTTTCTCCCTCAGCAGATACAGAAGGAGCCATAGGCCAGGCACACCCTGCTTCACAGTAAGAGCCACCATCTGTCCATACCCCTGTTGCAGTGGAACACCTTTTATTTTATTTTATTTTATTTTTTGAGTCAGAGTCTTACTGTGCTGCCCAGGCTAGAGTGCCATGGCATCAGCCTAGCTCACAGCAACCTCAAACTCCTGGGCTCAAGTGATCCTCTTGCCTCAGCCTCCTGAGTAGCTGGGACTACAGGCATGCGCCACCAGGCCCGGCTAATTTTTTCTATATATTTTTAGTTGGCCAATTAATTTCTTTCTATTTATAGCAGAGACAGGGTCTCACTCTTGCTCAGGCTGGTTTCAAACTCCTGACCTTGAGCAATGCTCCCACCTCAGCCTCCCAGAATGCTAGGATTATAGGCGTGAGCCACCACGCCCGGCCCTGGAACACCCTTTTTTTTTTTTTTTTAATTTTTTTTTTCTATTTTTAGTTGGCCAATTAATTTTTTTTTTTTAGTAGAGTCGGGGTCTCGCTCTTGCTCAGGCTGGTCTCGAACTGCTGAGCTCAAACGATCCACCCACCTCAGCCTCCCAGAGTGCTTACCATTACAGGCGTGAGCCACCGCACTTGGCCTGGAACACCTTTTAGATGTCAGCACTGTGTGGCTCTTTTCTTTCATATACTGGGCTTTAGCGTTAATCCCATTTAACCAAAGGGTTCTCTGCCTAGAAAACGGCATTGGAATTGTACAGTATGTGAGTTACAGCTCAGTAAAGGCATTAAACCTTCAGCCTAGATGACCCCAGATTCCTCCCCACTTAAGCAGCTGTGATTCCAGATGAAGACATTGCCCTTCAGCATCCTCTCACCTCCCCATCCCCGTCCCCCACCCAGAAATGCAAATGTATGAGTTTCATACAACAGGGGTGCAGGTCTAGGAGTCAGAATAAGCGGGGCTGGGCTCCAGCCAGCTCCTCACGTCCCTGCCTCCCCCTGCAGTGGTGTTTCCCCAGGATCTGCTGGAGAAGGGCCTTGAAGCAGACAACTTTGCCATGCTGGGACTCGGGGATATCGTCATTCCAGGTGAGCTTGCTGGGGTGGGGGCCATTGTGTGAGGGTGGAGAGGGTATTCCCTGGAGCGTGGGGGATTACTGCAAAACAGCCAGCCTTACCAGCTAGGAAAGGAAAAGGGAAAGAGAAAGAGTCAGGCTGGGTAATGCCAAACCCCCCCACCCCTGGGTCAGGCCAGGATTTGGTGAAGGATTCCACATCAACACACAGTTATGCAGTGCCAGTCACTCCCAGCCCCAGGCTGGGCCTTGGTCAGACAGCAGTGAGCAAGACTGTCCTCATGGAGCTTCTCATCTAGGTAAGCAGACATTATTAAAGAACCACAAGGTAAAATTGGACAATGACAGACTGAAGTACACTCTGTGAAAAAGCACGTTCCAAGACTTTCTTAAAGGAGTCCACCCCTCTCCCATACACCCACACGCATAGCCCTTCCCAGAGTTTGCAGGTATTACAGATGTGCTGGAACGGCCATAGCCCCCTGGCTGCTCCTCCCTGTGCTGAGAAAACACAGTATGTGGGCACATGGCTCCTGTGTCTGTAGTCTCTGCAAAGGAACATGTGTGTGACACCTGCTTGTCTGCACAAGCTGGCCTTTGAGGTCCTAGATCTACATGTGAGTGCTAGCTGGTATGCCTGTGGATATGGGCACAGGGGCCCCACCCACAGTCCCAAGCTTGGGCATACATCCCACAAACCCACAGCCTTGCCTCGCCTTGGGGCACCAGCTGCTCAAACTACCACTCGAAACCAAGGACAAAGCTCTGCTGTCACTCGGAGGGCAGCTGAAGTGGCCGCCGTATGTCTGCAGAGCTAGGCTGAGTGATGGGACAGTTGACACGCAGAGGGCATCCTTGTTTTGCTAGTCTCAGAGTCAGAGGGTTAGAAGCTTGCTTAAAAGAATATTTGGAGCAAATTAAAAGCCAACTTATTTTCCATTGTAGGACATAATAGCGATTCTTATAACCTATGATGATACTTTGGTCTTGTGACACACGTGGAGGTGATGCAGAAGTTTTCCCTGTTTAACTGGTGAGGAAACTGAGGCTCAGAAATGAAGGAACTATAGAAATTCACATACTAGTAAGCAACGGGGTCAGGACACAGACCACATTTGTGTGACTACACAAAAGGTTACACTGTCAGACAGCCCTTGTAACAGTAACAATAAGATAACCATGGTCACGAACCTGTTGTGTGCCAAGCATTGTGCTGGGTGTTTTTTATAGGTTATCTTTACTACTCCTGGCAGCCCAGTGAGGTGGAGGAGTATTTCCATTTTACATATGAGGAAACTGAGGTTCAGAATGATGGTTCAGCTTGCCTAAGGCCATGGGGGATGGGGAGATGAGCTCGAACCCAAGAGTTTTCATAATTAGCAGCGCTATGAGCCAGCAAGACTCCTTTCCCCAGGAGAAGGCAGCTCGGGCAGAAAAAATTGAGTCCCGTAAAGCATCTGGCTGGGTCTCCAGGGGATGGTCCCACACGGGCACCCACACACACTTCTGGGTGTGCTTGTCACTCGTAACTTCTGGGCTTAGGCATGCACCACACATCTGTGCATATCTGTCCCTCCCCTCCCCTGTCCTGTCTCTGTATATATCCTCAGATCTTCCAGCAGTCACAGTTAACGTAGGTTGAGCTCGTCCTCCCCGACTCTTGGTGGAGCATTGGTTGAGCATTGCTCCTGGCAGGGCTCAGACCCCTGGATTAGTTGGAGAACAGTTGTGGAATTCAGCCACCAGGTGGCACTGAGTCCCCTGCTTTGTTTCCAGAAAGGCGATGTTTTGTCTGCTTTCTCTGTCCCCTATTCACAGTCTTCATTGAGAACTAACTCATTTCCCTCTTTAAAATGAATCCTGTGTTGCCAGGCCGTGCTGCCTCTCAGCACAGAATGTTTCAGTTCTTGAGAGCCTTCCCTCAACTAGATGAGACCAAGCCCTGCCCTGTATGAGCCCAGAGAGCAGTGAGGGAGATGGACATGTAAACACACGCAGGCTGGACTGGCTGGCTGTGTCCGGGGGATGCTTAGGCCTCTGGGTGTCTCCCTGGTTTGAGAGTGCAGTGGGCAAACAGAGGTAACTGTCCCCTGCAGAGCTCCTGATGGTCCGCTCCTTGCTCCTACTGCTTCTCCTCCAGCCAGCAGCTGCCACAGGGTCTTTTTCAAAACCTATTTAGGTGGTTCTCCCACTTAAAACTCTACCAGTGTGTCCTCTTACTGGGATAAAGACCCACCTCCTCCCATGGCCCTTGGGGCCCTGCATGGCTGGTCTATCCCTCATCTACTCTGGGTTGCCACCCTACTGGCCCCTCAGTCCCTGCCGTAACCCTGAGCCTTCTTTCCTCAGGACCTCTGCATATGCTGTACCCTCTTCCTGGCAGGTGTCACTTCAAAGAAGCCCTCCTTCCCCTCCACCACCCCTATCATCACCAACCGAGTCTAGGTCTCATTCCTGACATACATTTTTGCGACACAGGAAGCCCCCATTCACAGTTATAATCTTAACCGTGGTTTGTGTTGCTATTTGAGGTATGTCACCACATGGCTGCCCCCACCCTCTTGGCTGAGGGCTGTGAGTGCAGTGAGATTGTTCACGCTGGTATTGCCTGCAGTCCCTGGTACTCAACAGGCACTCAGTAGACAGTGTGGTGCTGTGAAGTGCTGGGTTACAGTAATCCCAGGCCAGAGCAAAATCCTGGGATCTTCTCATTGTTCCAGGTAGAGAAATGGGATTTCTGCTGGCACTTGGCAGTGCTGGCCACACCCTTGGCCCCCGTGATTGTTCCGTGACTGGGACACCCTAGTTGGGGACCAGGACAAGGTCTCTTGTTAGTCTACTGTCCTACTCCTTCCCTGCCACTCTCTAACCCTGGTTTTCTCCCTGCAGGGATCTTCATTGCCTTGCTGCTGCGTTTTGACATCAGGTAAGTGAGGGCCCACCCTGGGCTGGGGGGTCTCCAGGGATTCTCCAGTGGCTTTCAGGAGCCCAGAGGAGGTACCTCAGGGGACCAGACCCTCCACCCAACAGCAACCAGAGCCATTCTGATCTTATCTGCATTTAGCATTTTGAAGTTCTAAGTGTTCAAAGAGCCTGTGGTCAAGATGTTTTAAAAGTTAAGAATCACAAGCCAGAGATTTAAACTCAGAAGTTCCTGGTGATACTTTGTGACCCTGCCAGGTGGTGTGGCCTTGGCAGGTGGCCTGACCTTTCTGGGCCTCAGGGTTTCTCATCCTTATGTTCGTGGTAAACAAGAGTTCCTGCCTCAGGATTATCATGAAAGTCTGGAGGGAGAGTGCTGAGCACAGGGTGACCTCAGTAGCTCTGTGCAAATCCAGCTGCAGTCATCATTGTCATCATCATCATTTTTTATCAGCCTCAGGTCAGGTCACCGTGGCCCAGCTAACTTGGGTCACCACTTAAAACACAAGAAAGGTCATATCTGAGTGAATGCACCTGGGCGTCTGGGCCTGCCGCCAGTAGGTGGCGCCAGTAACTGCTCTGTCATTTTATGCTCAGTCATCCCAGCCAGGACTCCTGTATGTGCTTGATTTGGTGGTGGTTTGTGAACTTTTCTTAATCTCCTCATGCCCCATAATTGCAAAAACACTAATAACGGTAACAGTGGTAATGAGAAACTCGGTACCAAAATCATTGAAATCCAATTCTCATGTGAAACTTAATTTCCCCAGTTGCATACATCTGAGTTATCTGTGTAGTGCCACCTCAGACTTCATGACACATGGGCTTACAGACACCTATGGAGGGGACCTGGCCAGTTTGCGAGCAGAGGCATGTCTGTGCCAGCTGTCTCTACTGCTGGCTGTTCAGAGGTAATAACAAAGTGAAACCCACAAGAATACCCCAGGCTGTTTGCCTGGACACAGATTCAGCTGCTGGCTCCCTCGGAGGCAGAATCGAATTCCTGGCCTGGCTCACAGGATAAGCAAGCTCCTCAGAGCTGATTCCAGAAGTGGTGCGACGTTCCCAAAGGGAGTCACTGGTACCCCAACAGTTCTCACAACAGTACGGCTGCCAGTGTACTTGCAGCTCAGATGCACCCAGGTTAAGGGGAGAAGGGGATCAAAGGTACTCATTCCTTCCACAAATGTTAATTGAATTCATGGTACTGGCTGGGGACACACAGAGGTTATGGAACTGGCATTGTAAAGGGAAGTCACATAATGGCAATGCCAGGTTGCATGCAGTTCATCTATTCTGAAGCTAATCTTGGATGAATCATTTCCAGGAAGCCACTGGCATTTTATTCATGTAGCCAATGTCTATTTAGTGCCCACAAATAGGTTACTGAACTATTACATCCACTGCCCTTAAAAGTAATTACTTACCTTTGCAGTTTCTGTATTTGTGTTTCTCAAAGTATGATCTACCTATATCTGATTCACCTTAGTTATTTTTTCAGAATGCAGATTCCTGGGCCTTGCCCCAGACCTATTAGATCAGACTCCTGAGTGGACCTAGAACCCTGCCTTTTTTTTTTTTTTTTTTTTTACAAGGTTCCCAGATGATTTTTATGCTGGCTAAAGTCTTATAGCCACTGTTCTAGGTTACGGCATTTGATATTCACAATCACCAGGGAGATGGGCTCCTCATCTTCCCATTTCACAGATGAATAAGCCAAGACTGAGAGAAGAAGAGTGACTTGACTAAAGACATGGCTGGGGGCTGTACCAGACTGCATGCCTGTCTCTAGACCCCCAGCCCAGAGCTCTGTCACCCCCACAACCTCCAGGGTCTTCCCCAGATCCCTCCTCAGAAGGGATATTACCGCTCCAGTCCCTATATCTAACCTTCCTTCGCTTTCTTCTCACACCTCCCCTGAAGCTTGAAGAAGAATACCCACACCTACTTCTACACCAGCTTTGCAGCCTACATCTTCGGCCTGGGCCTTACCATCTTCATCATGCATATCTTCAAGCATGCCCAGGTGAGCAGGGCTGTACTCAGAGTGTCAGGAATGTGTCACTGCAAATAAGAGGGACTTACAGAGGACTTATCTGTCACATATACCAGCAGTCCAGAGGCAGGTGCTCCCCAGTGGTGTTAGAGCAGTCCTGTCTGTGATTCTCTTGGCCCTTTTTCTTGCTGTTGCAGGCTGGCCGCCACTGCTCCAGGCAGCACGTGCATGTTAGTAGCAAGAAGGGAGGAGAATATAGCAGCCATGCCTGCTGCCTTCATCAGGAAGCAGAATCTGTCCCAGAACCCTGTCTGCACCTCACAGGCCAGATGAGTGGCCCAGGACCACCCCAGTCACTATAGAGTCTAGGAAAGGGGATTTGGCTTCTTAACCTCAGTAGTGGGGGGCAGACAGAAGAACAGGATTGGGTGGGTGTTGGGTGTTTCAGCCCAGCACCCACCCACCAGAGGACTGATTAGGTGTTGGGCCTCACCACCCCCTATTCCCAAGGAGGCCAGGCTCTGCCTCCTTCTCCCACCAAGATGCGTACTGGGTACGGAGCCGGCACAGAGCGAGCCAGCATCGCGTGCGGGCTGGGAACAGTCATCGTGGCCTGGAGAGCGGGAGGCTGGGGAAGGCCCGCCGTGAGTCCACGCTCCATCCACTAACTGTGGGGCTCTAGGTGGGTTGCTGGAGTTAGGCTTAGTTTTCCTCGTTGGTTAATAAAATCAGAAAATGGAGATAAATAACGGCCACCTTGGGGTTACTTGAGAATGAAGCAAGTTCATGTAAGTGCAGCTCTCAGGACCACACCGGGCCTGCTGGGTGTGAGTTGTTGCTCTTCCTCTCCCCCTTCCCCAGGGCCCAGGCACTGTGCTGACTCTCTTGCACATTAACCCACTGAGTCCTTACAGCACTGCTCCTCATGGAGGTACTAGTGCAGTATTACTCTTATTTTACGCTAGTGTTCTTATTGTACAGAAAAGCCATAAATCGAGAAACAAAAAACCAATGGGGAGCTACCTCTCTCTTGCTTCTATTCCACATGGCCTCAGGGACAGTGCAAGCTGAGAGAGACATGAACTTGGCAAGGGTGTGACAGAGAGTGATTGGACCTGGATTGGAGCTCTAGCGTAGAGGTCTTTGGAGATCTCTGCTCCAGCGTTCAACCCCGTGTTAAAGTCCAAGCCTGGAGCCAATTCCCCCAGTGGCCACCAGGTGGCAGGCTTGCCTTCTCCTGGCCAGACTGAGAAGAGACTGCCATTCAGAGCTCTCTCATGCAGGGAGACTGGCAAGACAGGTGGTCCCCTCCTTTGTGGGGAAATTGTAGCCCTGAGAGAACAGGAGAATCCTTGGTCACACCGCAAGTCAGGCTGGGCCCCAGGCCTGTGCTATAACCCAGTACCAGCCTAGCCCTTCTCCCCAGTCATCCAAGTGGGCATCTATCTGAAAATTTTTCGGAAGGGGATCCAGGACCGGAGGGAAACCTGTTCCTTGGGGTCTCCCATGATTTCCAAGACACAGGCAGTCCCAGTGCCAGCATTGCCCCAGGTAAGGGGCCTCTGCCCATGTGGCCTTTGACTCATTTAACCTCTGTCAGAAACCTACTCCAAGCCAGAAAGCTAGCAGCCTGCTTATTAAATTAAGGCCCTTTGGCCGGGCGCTGTGGCTCACGCCTGTAATCCTAGCTCTTGGGAGGCCGAGGCGGGCGGATCGCTCGAAGTCAGGAGTTCAAAACCAGCCTGAGCAAGAGCGAGACCCCGTCTCTACTATAAATAGAAAGAAATTAATTGGCCAACTGATATATATATAAAAAATTAGCCGGGCATGGTGGCGCATGCCTGTAGTCCCAGCTACTCGGGAGGCTGAGGCAGAAGGATCACTCAAGCCCAGGAGTTTGAGGTTGCTGTGAGCTAGGCTGACGCCACGGCACTCACTCTAGCCTGGACAACAAAGCGAGACTCTGTCTCAAAAAAAAAAAAAAAAAAAAAAAAAAAAAAGGCCCTTAGAGATTGTCAGGTTCGTGATGTCCCCATTTTACGGAGGGAGCAGGCAAGCCCAGAGAGGGAAGTAATTTAGCTGTGGTCACACAGTAAGGCCAAGTCTGGGTGGAAAGCCAGGAATCCTGACCCCAGCTCACTGCCCCTAGCTACCTCCCAGATTCTCCTTAGCACTGACTTTCTTTGGAGAGATTTCTTGGTGTCTTAAGAAGAAAGCAGAGTCTAGGCTGGTATTCCTTTGATGATAACCAACTTGCTGCCTTCCAAAGGAGCTCCTCAATCCAGCTCTCAAGTGAGGGAGGCCTTAAAGGAAGAATTGAGTTTCTACTCACCCTCCCCTGGAAGCCCTGTGATTTTCCCAATCTGGCTTTGGGGAAGAGAATGGGCTTAGAGGCAGGGAACTGGGTGCAAATCCTGACCATGTGATTTTGGACAGGGCCTTCTCCCTCCTTTGGCACTTTGTCTCCTCATCTATAAAATGCATATGGGGACATCTACTTTTCAGAAATTAAATTGTAATACATTTGTGTTTACTTCATTTTCTATTTCATTAATTTCTGCTTTACTTTTATTATTTTCTTTCTACTTTTTGGATATTTGTTCTTTTTCTAGCTTTTTTTCATTAAGTTTTTTACTTTTAAATATAGATACATTGTAGTTGTATATATTTATAGGATATACGTGATGTTTTGATAGATGCATACAAGGTATATTAATCAAATCAGGGCACTTGGGGTGTCCATGGCCTCAGGCATTTGCCATTTCTTTTAGTTATTTTAAAGTATATCCTAACATATTATTGATTACTGTCACTTTGTTGTACTGTCTTTTTCTAGTTTCTTGATTTATAAACTTAGATTATTTATTTCAATTCTTTACTGTTCTCTAATAGATTCACTTTAGGGTTATAAGTTTTCCTCTCAGTACTGCTTTGGCTGCCACTCACAAATTTTGATGTGGACCTTAGTTGTGATTTTTTTAGTCTTGGCCCAAAGCCTAGCTCATAGCAAAGACCTGATGCAGTGGGAGAAACACAGCTGCTCGGGTTCAAATCCCAGCTCAGCCACTAGCATACCTTGTGTGACCATGGGGCCAAATCATTTCTCCAGCCATCCCCCCCTTTTTTTTTTGAGACTTGCTTTTATTAAGAGTCTCACTCTTGGCCAGGCTAGAGTGCAGTGGCATGGTCAAAACTCACTGCAGCCTCAAACTCCTGGGCTCAAGTGATCCTCCTGCCTCAGACTCCTGAGTAGCTGGGATTATAGGCACCCACCACCACACCCAGCTAACATTTCCCCTCTCTGAACCTCAGTAACATCATCTATAAAACCCAGAACCTAATACTTAGGATATTATTAGAGTCATACATAATATATATAAAGTGGTGTGGATCAAAGCCTACCCATGGCAGGTGCCAGGAAATGATCTGAAGGTCATGCTTGGGGCACAGAAGGATGATTCCTTTGTGGCCAAGAGCTAGGTTTTCATTAAGAATGAAGTCTCCTGGCCGGGCGCGGTGGCTCACGCCTGTAATCCTAGCACTCTGGGAGGCTGAGGCGGGCAGATTGCTCAAGGTCAGGAGTTCGAAACCACCCTGAGCAAGAGCGAGACCCCGTCTCTACTATAAATAGAAAGAAATTAATTGGCCAACTAATATATATAGAAAAAATTAGCCGGGCATGGTGGCGCATGCCTGTAGTCCCAGCTACTCGGGAGGCTGAGGCAGGAGGATTGCTTGAGCCCAGGAGTTTGAGGTTGCTGTGAGCTAGGATGATGCCATGGCACTCACTCTAGCCTGGGCAACAAAGTGAGACTCTGTCTCAAAAAAAAAAAATGAAGTCTCCTTACCCTCGCCCCCATTCATTTCCAAGATACCCTTTTAACTTTGTGAGTACCCATGCAGGAGCCATTCGCTTAGTATTTACCAGCCCTCTCCTGAGTGCTGGGCATACAGTAGTGAGCAAGACATCCGTGGCCCCTGCCCTCCAGTCCATAGTGAGCAAGGAGCATCCCAGGCAGCAGAAACTACACGTGCAAAGGTCCTGTGGCTGGAGGTGCAGGCTATTGGGACAGGTTGGGTGAGGTTGGAGAAGGAAGATGGGGTTCATGTCTCACAGGTCCTTCAATGCTTGGGAGCACTGGAGGCTTTCGAGAGTTGAACAGTGGAGTGATGTACAACTTTCAAATGCTGAAAACAAAAGAATGGCTTTAGGGTCTAGCGTACCTGGGGTCCAATCCTCAGTTTAACATTTAGACCTCTGAGGCCTGGGCTGTCCCCTCTCTTCCGGAAGCATTAGTCTTCCTCCCCTACAACAGGAGGACAGTCACAGGGGATGTGGAGATGGGCTGCAGTACTCCTGGGAGGGCCGAGCTCAGTGCCTGCACAATAGGTGCTCCGTGAACAGAGGCTCTTCATATAATTGTCCTTTTCTCCGAACCCATCTTTACCAGGAGTCTCAGCACAGACTGTGCGCAGGACCCCTTGGGTGTGGATCCTTGTGGATCCTTGTGGAGCCAGTGACCCTACTGTATACAGCACATGTTCCCTGCATAGCAGCAGCCGTGTCATTATCTCATTATATTAATAGCTTCTCCTGGAGCATTTGCTAAAATTCAGACTTCAGCCTCAGACCTTGGGAAGCAGGGTCTTTGGAAATAGGACCAACCCAAGAGTTTGTACTTTTTGTTTTTCTTTCTTTTTTAGGCAGGGTCTTGCTCTGTCGCCGAGGCTGGAGTATGGCTAGGACTACAGATGTGCACCATGGTGCCTGGCTAATTTTTTTATTTTTTGTAGAGATGAAATCTTACTATATTACCCAGGCTGATCTCAAACTCCTGGGCTCAAGTGATCCTCCCACCTCGGTTTCCCAAAGTGCTGGGATTTACAGACATGAGCCACCACACTGGCCAGGAGGTTGCATTTTGAACCTAGTGTCCCAGGTGATTTAGGCGCTACCTGCCAGACTCCTGGGAAGTCTTAAAGCCCTGCACACTCGAGTTCCTTTGTGTTTCTTACATTCTGTCCCAGGGAGCAGCCCAGCCCTGGGTTCAGACCTAGTCATTGACTTGCCCTGTGTACCTGGGCCAGTCACTGTCCCTCAGTCCAGCCTAGGAGAGGGTTGGGGGTGCTGGGAATGGCCCTGCACAGGTTCCCTGGCCAGCATTGCCTTACCAGCCTGTATCCTCTCACAGCCTGCCCTCCTGTACCTGGTCCCTGCCTGCGTCGGTTTTCCCGTCCTGGTGGCGCTGGCCAAGGGAGAAGTGACAGAGATGTTCAGGTAAGCCAGGGTCGGGGACAGACGTTCACATGGGTGCAGGTGTGCCTGTGGGCAGCCAGTGGCGCCGGGGGTGTTTGTACACGTCTCCAGGGGAACGTTGTTCCTGCCACCAGTTCCAGCCCTCACCCTTCCCGCCAGCACGTGGGCGTCTCACCTGTGGGGGCAGCGGTGGGAACCTTTCCCTGGGCCAGGATAGGGAGGGCAAGGCCTAGGGACCCTCTGAGAAGCCCCCACATCCAGATGCCAGCTGGATCCTAAGAACAGAGTGGCTGGTGTGGATTTCTCTCTGGGCGGCCCACTGTCAGGAGCCTTGGATTTCCAACCTGGCTCTGCTACCAGGTGACTTCAGGCATGTCTTTCCCCTCCCCTGGCTTCAGTTTTCACATGAAAGTGATAGAAAGGTGGAAAGTACCCTGAGCGGAAGTCATGTGTCCGTCCCTGTTCAGCTGCCTCTGTGGCTGTGACCCACAGCTTTCTCTCCAACTCAGTTTGTGTCTCACTCGCACACGTACCCCTTTCCCAGGGCCATATCCACACCTGCCACGCCCTACGCACAGCCCCACCCAAACCCCAAGGCCTGCGTGACTCCAGCAGGTGTCTGCCCCCCAGCACCACCGACCCTGCCTGCCAGGGACCTAGAAATAGCTGCCAGCTGTGATTAACGCTGCCCACTCGGGGGCCTTCCACCCAGCTCCACCTGCCTGCCCTCCAAGTTGTCCCTCGAGCGCCTGCCAAGGCCTCCTGTGCACCTGGCTGCCCGCAGGGGAGCCTGTGACTCACTCCTCCCCCGTACCTACCTCTGCTCTCCCTGTCCTGCCTAGAATCCCCAGCTCCCAGCCTGCCTGCCCATACCTCCTGGCCTGGCAAAGCCCTGTGGTTTCTGAGGCAAGCAGGGGCAGCGGGGTGAACTTGGGGACAAATTTGGGGGAACTCTGGAAGCAGGCATGGCATCTATCCCTGAGCTCAGCACTTACCCCTGCCCTCCCTCTGACCCTAATCCAGCCTCAGGTCCCCTGCCCCGCCACGCCAGGGGTAGCCAGCACAATTTAGTCCTGTTGTGTCTTGACTGGACGAAGCTCTGAACACCCCAGCCTGGGCAGAGAGTGCCCTCCCTTTACCTGGCTGGTGCTACATGTTCTGCCCCACAGGCACCCTGTCCCGCTTTCTGCCCTCTGCCACCCCTACCTTGGAGGCTCTTAGATTGAGGTGAAAAGTAAGTGGACTCTCTCTTCTCTTTCTATCCGTCTCTCTCCCGATTCTCCACCTTACCTTTTGTTTTACTCTTCCCTTTTATTCACACTCCCTCCTTTTTAATTCATTTATTTATTTTTAAATAGGCAGCACATTCACAAGGTTCCAAATTGCACAGCTCTGAGAGGGAGAATGTTCTCATGCCCGATGCCCCTCTCGGAGGCCGGCTCTGTTACACCGACGTCCAGAGACACCTGGGCACCGAGATGCAAGCGTGCGTGTGCAGACTCTCGCAGACACGGTGGCATTCGCAGAGCATTCTGCACCTTGGGTTTTTCTCACGATGCTGTGTCTTAGAGAGATTTTCACAGCAGCACATACACATTTAGAGCACCCTTGTTCTTTTGCACAACTGCATGATGTGCCTTCGTCTGGGTGCATCTTTTCCTTTCTACTTTCTAAGTCATACCGGCTTCTTTCCACAAAGTCTGGAAGTGCAGAGATAGATAAAAATAAGACAGTTCTGCTCCTTGCTCCTCGGAAAGGAAGTCTCTGTCCTCCCTCAGTCTTTCTCTCTCCATCTCTCTTTCTGTCTCTTCTCTGTCTCACACAGCTACGAGTCCTCGGCGGAAATCCTGCCTCATACCCCGAGGCTCACCCACTTCCCCACAGTCTCGGGCTCCCCCGCCAGCCTGGCCGACTCCATGCAGCAGAAGCTAGCCGGCCCTCGCCGCCGGCGCCCGCTGAATCCCAGCACCATGTAATGCCCGGCGGGTGCCCACCTGCCCGCTCCCCCTTCTGCCCTGGGCCCAAGGTAGGGCAGACACCGCAGCTCCGTGCGCAGGGCAGGGAGCACTGCCAGGGCAGGCACGGGAGGCAGCTCCTGCACAGCCACCAGCATGCCTGCCCCCAGCCACGGGGCCGGGGAGCTGGGCACCCCAGAGGCCCAGTGCCCTCACCAATAAGGTGGGGCTCACAGGAGCGCGCAGATGTAAACGGCCCTTGTCCTACCGTAGTAGACCCTGTTACTATTCACTGCATATATGTGTATGTGTGTGTATATATATAACCTTGGGCAAGTCACTTTCTTCTTTCGGAGCCTTTCTTCTGTAAGCGGGCACACTCCTGCCTCACGGGGGTGATCTGGTGAGGAAATGTGTGTATTGTCTTTGGCATGAACTGCTTGCTCAGTAAGTGAAGCCTATAGTAAAAGCTAAGCCAGGGTGTCTGTCTTCAAAGCGGCACCTTGCCACTTGCCAGTAGAGCAGTCTCCTCCACACCCTCTGGGACTGAGCTGTTTGACGCCTGCCACGTGTCCTGGGAGGCAGCCCACCTCCCATAGCCTCGTCCTGGCCCCCCTCTTTCCCCTCTCCAGCAGAAGGTTCAAGAAGGTTAAAGTTGGACCACACAAGTCCAGGCCTCGCCTCTCTTCCACTGGCCGCTGCCTCGCTGCCTCTTGCACCGCTGGGCACAGAGAAGGCAGAGCAGCTGTCTGAGGAGGGCTCGCCTCGGGGCCCGGCCCAGCACTGGAAGAGGCTGGGCAGTGGACGCAGGGCTGACGTTCTTCTTGTGCCCAGGGCATTGCCTGGGGCGCCAGGTGGGGACAACAAAAGATTCTGCTCTCCCCTTCCTCTAAATGCATTTTTATTGTTTTATTTTTTGGTCAGTTATGAGGACTCAAATTCTAAGGATCCAGCGGCAGCGACAGACTCCGGGCCGGAGAAGAAGGATAAATGATATGGCTGGCGTCTGACCCTCCGAGGGCCAGACCAGACCGGCGGGGGATGGCCCCACATGGGTGTGCACGAGCAGAAGGCACAGGAGGTCAAGGGCAGTGCCAGGACAGGGGTGGGGGCAGCAGGATCCCTCCAGCAGGGCCTCTTTGGCCTCTGTTTCCCTCTCCCCCTCCTGGCCTTCCTCTGCTTCTCCCCTTCCCCTACAGGCAAAGGAAACCCCAGCTTCCCCCACTATCCAGGAGCCAGGTGGGAAAAGTGGGTGTGATTTTTAGATTTTTGTATTGTGGACTGACTTTGCCGCACATTAAAAATTCATCCCATGGCCAAGGCGGGCCACTGTGCTTCTGGAAGGGTTCACTGCATAAGCTCCCTGTGTCTTGTACTGGGTTTACTAGGTCTCACCTGCCCATCTAGAAACTTCTCTGCAAGCCCCTTCCTGGGTGCCCACCCCAGTGCCTGACCAGCTCAGCACCCCACGAACACCCTCTAGCCAGCAGAGGGGGCCCACGAGCCCTTCTTTCTCCCCAGCCATTGGGTTTACTTTACCACCTTCCTCCTTGCACTTAGGGATAGTGCGGGTACAGGTGCTCACTGAGTCCCCCACTCACCTTGACAAGAGGTGGGGAGGGTACCACCCACCAGCCTCCCTGGTCCAAATGTCCACATGACCTCAGCTGGATAGGGCCTGGTTTCTAGGGTACCCTAAAGATCAAGGCCCCATCTCTCCCATTCTGCTCATTCCTAGGGTTCTTCCTAAAATGACTACTATGGGGCTAGTCACAACACAAGGACCAGGGCCCCTAGAGAGGCTGGTGCAGGGAGGAATTGGGCCCAGTGATTGTGAGAGGCCATCTGTGTCTAAGAGCTGGAAATCCTGGGGACAGGGTTTCCCTAAAATGTGCTGAAGACAGCAACCCTGGCCTGCGGGAGACACTTCCAGTGAATCAGGCAAGGAGTAGCCACAGCCCTCATCCACCTGCCTGGTATGGGGTCGCTGGGTGGGGAAACTGAGACAGGAGTGGGTGGCCGTTGGCCTGAGATCCAGGCCTCCAGCTCCCAGCCCAGGGCTCTCCCTTGCCCAAACTTCCCATTCAAAGGCTGAAAATAACAGTGGCTTCCAAACAGTTTGGAAGTGGTCAAAGGACGGCATGACCAAAGAGAGACTAGAGCATCACTGTGATATCTCACTAGGCATTGACATGTATCAAGCATCTCCATACGGATTTCACTCAGCTCTCACAGTCTTAGGTTGTAGCTGTATTATCAGATCCATTGTGAAAGGAGGCAGCTTGCCCGTGGACATCTATTTGACCTCGAACAATCCAAATCAAATTCCAAGTTCCTAAGGATTGGGCCACTCCTCTCCAGAACCCCAGGACCCAGTCACTGTGGCTGGTATGCTGGGCTCCTGTGAGTCAGCCACCCAACTTTTCTGGGCCCAGGACTCTATGGAAATGAAAGGTAGAAAATCTCAAAAGGCCTGGGGGTCCCTTTCAGGGTCTTCTCGGATCTCCGCCGCCTCCAGAGGGAGGCCGTGTGGTCCTGAACAAGGCCTCTCTGAGAGCGGCAGAGGGGCAGGCAGCCCAGGCACACAACGTGGTCGGCTCTGCGGCCCAGGGCCCACAAAGCCCTCATTGAGTCACTGCCTGCCCCCGGCGGAGGCTGAGGTGGCAGTGGCGCCGGGCGCTTGCCACCTAATGACCGTCCTGGCCCGGCCAGATGTTCCACAGACCTCTGCAGCGGCCGACCAGGGCCCGCCCGGCCAGCCAGCACCGCAGAGGCCACTCTAATTCCAATTAACCAGCTTCAGCTGAGCAAACAGCGGGCAGCGGTGGCCCAGCCCGGGCGGTAGGCCCGGCCCGCAGAGCCTCCGAGTCTAGACTCCAGATGTGAACCGCCACCGCCAGAGTCCCATGGAAAAATGGCACCAGGCCGGCAGGGATTGGGCCTGCACACTGGGGGGATGGGGGGCGTGGTTGGGCAGGGCCCCGGGTGGGCCTGGTGCCAGTCTCACCTTGGAGTGGGGGCAGATTCTTGGGAAACTGCTCTAGAGCCCCAAAGTCCTGCCCCTGATTTGTTAGGTGTCCTCTGTGCCTCGGTCTCCCCCAACTGCAATATGTAGGAGAGGGCTCCTATGCCAACAGCCCAGGTACACACTCTTTTCATTGTATTTAACAATTTAACATGTGACTAGCCGTGTGCTTGCACAGTTGACTCGAACAAAGCAGAGGGTGGGGGACACTGACAAACCCCTCCCCATACACAGTCAAATTCACGTATAACTTTTGACTCCCTCAAAACGTAACTACTGATAGCCTCCTGTTGGCCAGAAGCCTTACCAGTAAAAAACAACACATATTTTGTATGTTACATGTCTTATATACTGTATTCTTACCATAAAGTAAACTAGGAAAAAAAATGTAATTAAAATTGTAAGAGCCAGGCACCATGGCTCACAAGTATAATCCCAGCACTTTGGGAGGCTGCGACCAGAGGATCACTTGAGTCCGGGAGTTCAAGACCAGCCTGGGCAATATAGTGAGACTCCCATCTCTACTAAAAAACTTAAAAATTAGCCGGGCATGATGGTGCATGCCTGTAGTCCCAGCTACTGAAGAGGCTGAGGCAGGAGGATCGCTTGAGCCCAGGGATTTGAGATTTCGGTGAGCTATGATGGCACCCCTGCACTCTAGCCTAGGCAATAGAGCAAGACAAAAAAACAGTCAAAAAAAAAAAAAAGATAAAACATATTTACTATTCATAAAGTGGAAGTGTATTGGCCCAATGTGGTGGCTTAAGCCTAATCCTACCACTCCGGGAAGCCAAGGCAGGAGGATCCTTTGAGGTCAGGAGTTCGAGAGCAACCTGAGCAAGAACAAGACCTCATCTCTACTGAAAAATAGAAAAAAATCAGCCAGGCGTGGTGGCTCATGCCTGTAATCCTAGCACTTTGGGAGGCCGAGGCAGGCAGATCCCTCAAGGTCATGAGTTCGAAACCAGCCTGAGCAAGAGTGAGACCCTGTCTCCACTAAAAAAACAAAAAGAAATTAATTGGCCAACTAAAATATATAGAAAAAATTAGCCGGGCATGGTGGCGCATGCCTGTAGTCACAGCTACTCGGGAGGCTGAGGCAGGAGGATCGCTTGAGCCCAGGAGTTTGAGGTTGCTGTGAGCTAGGCTGACGCCACAGCACTCTAGTGGTGCTGTTTGGCACAAATCAGGATCAGGATTACTGCACTGCTGGTTCCCTTTCTTGGGGTCAGCATTGGAGAGTGGAGAGGATTGGCAACCTCAGAGTCTGACAGAGAAGGTGGCTTCTGCAAGGTGACTGGAGCTGTTCTGCCCACTCTCTGTCCTGTTTCCTCAGCTGTGAAAGGGTTAAGAACCTAAGAACCTTCCTCCCCGGGGGGTCCAACTTTTTGAGGTAGAAGCCTTCCGACCATGAACCAAGCCTAGCAAGAACAGCAGAGGTCAAAGGCCTGGCCAGGGCTTGAAATGGCTGAATTAAATGGATGTCAAGTCAAGAGCTATGACTTAGGGCAGGGGAAGTGCCTCCTCCGGTTCCCACAGTCGTGTCTGGGGTGCCTGAGGAGCGAAGCACAAGCCTGTGTGACCCAGGAGGTGGGAGTTCCGCTGTCCTTGCACAAATGGGGAAGCCGAGTCCCTCAAAAAAAGGGGGGGAGGTTAATTATACAGGAGTTTTCCAAAACTGGGGGGGGCGGCAAGACAACGGGGTCTCACAAAGTGGCTGCCAGAGGCAGGGCCCGCTGCCCCCTCCCCAGCCCGCTCCCACGGCTTGGATTCCCTCCACGATCCCAGGCCGGGCGTGGGAGGCGCGGGCAGAGGAGGGCGGGAGGAGGCTGCATCCTGCCCGGTGCGTCAGGAAGGGCCGAGCGAGCGGGAAGGAAAGCGCCACCCCCGCCCCCACCGCGGCCACACCTGGGCTCTCCAGCCGGGCAGGGGGGCCCGGGCCGGCGCCTGGCTCCAGCAAGTCTGGGCCGCCTCCCCGCGCCGCCCCGTGGGGGCCGCCAGATGGGCCGGCCGCCCGCCCAGCGACACCGGCAGGAAACGGCCGCCCGGGCTGCCAGGAATGCGCGGGGGCGGGGCCCGGCTGGCTCCGCCCATCGGCGGGCGGGGCTGCGAGCTCGCTGGAGCCCTGGGGTCTGGACTCTGCCACCTCCCGGCTCTCTTTTCCTGGGCAAGTCAGTTCACTCTTCTATGCCTCAGTTTCCCTACCTTTAAAATGGGGCTGCATGGCTGGGCACGGGTGCTCACGCCTGTAATCCTAGCACTCTGCGAGACAGAGGCGGCAGGAGTGAGTTCAGGACTTGGAGGCCAGCCTGGGCAAGAGTGAGACCTCGTCTCTACCAAAAACAGAAAATTAGCCAGACGTCGTCGTGCGTGCCTATAGTCCCAGCTACTTGGGAGACTGAGGCAGGAGAATGGCTTGTGCCTAGGAGTTTGAGGTTGCTGTGAACTACAATGATGGCACTGCACTCTGGCCTGGCCAACAGAGTGGGACTATGTTTCAAAAAATAAATAAATAAAACGAGGCTGCTTATCTCAGCTTCATCATCACTGTGTGACCTCAGAACAATTCCTTTCCCTTTTGTTCTTTGGTTTTCTTACCTGGAAAATGGAGCAAAGGATTGTACCTCCCTCAGCCATGGACTGTTGCCACTGGGATATAAACTCACGGAGGGCTAAGCTTTTGTTTTCCTCCCCACTGTTGCCCCAGCACCTGGCCCAGTGCCTTAGACATGAAGGCACTCAGTGTCTGTCCTGTGAATGAATATAAAGGTCTGGGACAATCCTGAAGGCCTAACAGTAGGCACTTCATAAATGGACAAACTCAAATTATCTTGGGTCTAATGCTTACTAACGGGTGTGGCTTCGGGCAAGTGACTTTCCATCTCTGAGCTTCACTTTCCAGGCCTACCCCATGGGTGGCTGTGAGGATTAAGTGAAATCATCCATGGAAAGCACACATACTTTGTCCTTAAGAGAGGATATTTATGGAAGAGTCTCCAAGATGTGAAGAAAAACTATTTGTGTACATTTGGAGGTAAGGAATATACAAAGGAATTGGGTGACTTGGGAGGAAAATTTTGCTATATATGTTAAATTTATGTATATTTTGTTTTGTATTTTTTTAAATTTTGAGCCAGGTGAATGTACTTTTCAAAAACAAATACAATTGAGAATAAAAATAAATCCAGCGCTATAAAAAATAAATATTAACTATTACCTACTTCTGGCAAAGGAGGGATCTAAAATTCAGAGAGGGTCTGAAACCTGCCCTCGGTCACAAAGAGCCAGGAAATGGCAAAGATGAGATTTGAAGGTAAATTTGTTGGACTCCAAATTAAATACAGAAAGAAGTAAGGAGAGAAAGCCCACCTCCCTCTCTGGCTCTTGATCACTTCTCCCAGGAAGAGGGTCCCAGGCAGAGTGGAGGGGAGAGGGAAGGCCCAGAGGGAAGGCAGGGAGGGAGGAGGGAAGAGAGGAGGGGCAAGAGGCCAGCAGAGTGAAGAAGAGTCAGTGAGGAGATGTGGAAAGGTGAGCAGATGCCACAAAGCCCAGCAAAGGAGCATAGGCTTTATCCTGAAGGCAATGGGGAGCCAAGGAAGGATTCTGAGCAAGGGAGTGACATGATCCTTTCTAAGCATCAGAAATGGAGAAAGCAAGAAGTCAGGGAGGGGGCTCCAGGTCAGTGACGATGGTGCTCTGAGTGATATAAGGGCAAGGGGCCAAGGGATGGATGGACAGAAGAGACTGAGGACTCAAAGCAGGCCAGAGGGTGGACCAAGGTCATCCAAATGTCCCTCAGCAGCATGGCAGGGCTACAAACCCAAGTGTCCTGACTCCATTTTCCAACTTCCTCTTCCTCGGGTGTTGTTCAGCCTGCATCACTCCCACCCTTAAAAATGTCCTAAGCCCCCTCAAGTTCCCTGGGGCTTCCCAGGTCCCAGGAAGAAGACAAAATTCCCAACAGCTCTGAGCTGAAGGGAACCGGGGGATGAGAGTTGTAGGAGTAGAGAATTAAAATTGAAACAGGTTCCCCCACACCAGGGTGTTTTCAGAGCAAAGTGCCTGTGATGCTGTTTGCAATACTTGTACCCATATCTGATGCCCCATAAGAGTGCAATATGGCCGGGCGCGGTGGCTCACGCCTGTAATCCTAGCACTCTGGGAGGCTGAGGGGGGCAGATTGCTCGAGGTCAGGAGTTTGAAACCAGCCTGAGCAAGAGCAAGACCCCGTCTGTACTATAAATAGAAAGAAATTAATTGGCCAACTAATATATATAGAAAAAATTAGCCAGACATGGTGGCGCATGCCTGTAGTCCCAGCTACTTGGGAGGCTGAGGCAGAAGGATTGCTTGAGCCCAGGAGTTTGAGGTTGCTGTGAGCTAGGCTGATGCCACGGCACTCACTCTAGCCTGAGGAATAAAGCGAGACTCTGTCTCAAAAAGAAAAAAAAAAAAGTGCAATATGCCTCATACAATGTATACATTTTGGACATGCAGGAGGAACACATATGTACACATGCAAACTTATACTCCTGTGAACCTGCACATGCACCAGCCAAGGGAACTCTGCATACCCATTCTTGCCAGTAGCACCCACGGGGTTTCCCATCAGTAGAGCGTGGACAGGAACCTTTGTGGAAGAATAGTACTAACAACAGCAGGTAGCATATTTTTATTTTTATTTTTTTGTCTACACTGGGATGCAGCTAGCATTATGGAGAATTCATACCGTGCCGAGCACCATTGCAAGTGTTTACAGGCTTCGAATCCTTAACTCTCATGTCATAACCACCCCTACCCCCACCCCTGTCACCCCCCCATCCCCCCACCCCTCCACCCCCGCCATGGGGTGAGTCTCCGTTATAGAGATGAGGAAATAAAGGCACAGGGCCCTCTCAAGGTCATATAGCAATGAAGACTCTTCCCAAGCTCTTGGGTTCCATCCCCCCTTCAGCCTCATCAAGCCATCCATTTGTCATTTTTCATGTCATTAAATATTCGTTTATGAAAACCTTTTATTATCACAGAAGGTGCATGTGTGCATTGCAGAAGGTTAGATGTTAAAACATGTGAAAATAAAATAGCATGCTCCTGCCACCCAGAGATTACTGCTGTTAACACCTTAACATAGATACTTTGATACTCAGATTTTTTTTCTATGCTTATTATGTATTTTTTAACCCAAATCAGATCTACAGTGCATATTATTTTCTCATTTTGTTTCCACAGTTAACAACCTTCTCTTGCCATTTCGGTTACAAGGGCCCTACCTACCCTCCTTACCCTGCCCCTCCCTAAGGAGTGGCCTTGGGCAGGGAGGGGACCCAAGCAAGGCTGAGCCTTGGGTGCTGCCCCCATGGGCCTGTCCACCTCAGGCAGGTGCCTTCCCTTGCTGCCAGGAGCTGAGCACCCACCCCTTCTCAGCTACCCCAGGATCCAGCTGGGACCAAGTGGGGGAGGGGAGGTAGAGGCACAGGAGAGGGGTGAGGGGGAGTGGAGAAAACCCAGGGCCAAGGTTAGAAAGCCAGATGCCAAGGGGTGTGGTTGTCGGGAGGGGCTGACAAGTTCCCTATGCAACTATGAGTATGTGTACGCGTGTTTGTGTAAGAGTACCTGTTCTTGTGAGAATCTGCGCTGCAGTCTGGGTTTGTACAAGTTGTGGGTAAAGATGAAGGTGTTGAAATCTTATGTGGGACAGCATTGTGGACATGTTTGTTTATATTTGGTTGTGTTTCTGGATGCCTGCTTATAAGTTCGTGTCTATCTTAGCACGTTTAGGAATGTGTTTGTGAGAATATTTGTGAGCAAGTGCCTGCACCAGGGGGTGTGTGTGTGTGTATGTGGATGTGTGTGAGAGAGAGATCACACCGAAGTGTTTGGGTTTGTAAAAGGGCTCCTTCAAAGGCTTTGCTTGTGCAAATTTGTGGACGTGTGCTGTCCAACCTTCTGTCTGCCCATCTATGTGTGCACGAGCGCGCGTGCACTCGTGTATTCTCCAGCTCTATGTTTTTTGGTCTCTGCTCCCCTCCACTTCAGTTGTCTCCCAGTCTCCCTGTGTCGTCCTCTCTTCTGGCCTCGTGGAAAAACTCCAGAAAGCACAAACTGGAGTTAGAGAAACAGGGTTTGGAGTTCTGACTCTGCTATTCTCTGCGTGGCTTTAGCCAATGGACTCAGAAGCCTCAATGGGGGACACACAGTCCCTGGTTATTGTTGTTATTCTGATTACTATTTTCTCCCTACTACCTGCCTCCATCTCAAACACCAGCCAGTCCTCTCCGCTTTGGCCAAACTGATGACAACTTTATTTTTCAAGCCTAAAACCCGCTTCTTCCAATTTCCTCTGAAACTATTCAGTAATCACCTTGGACTTACCTAGGGCATATTTATTTTTATTTTTATTATTTTTCTTTGGGGCATATTTTATTAACACTTGAATAGAAGAGCCATTCAGGGAAGGGCCTGCCGGGAAGTGCTCCACGGAGGTGCTGACTTGTGCGCAGGCTGTGAAAGGCTCCCACTTTTCTGTCCAGGCCGGAAGGCGCAGCGCATTCGGTGGGAAAGTTGCAACTGAGAAAAGAAAAAAAAAGTTTTTTCTTCCTTAAAAATTTTTTTTTTCAATCTGTGTCTCTTTTAAGCCCCACAGGATGGAAATGTCCTAAAATAAGAAATTAAACAAGAGAAAAAAAGCCCATTATCTGGGTTTTTTTTTAACGAGTCTCTCAGGATTCCAGGACCCCCTTCCCAGGCGCTGTGTGGTCCGGGCCTGAGAACGCCAAGCCCGGCCCGGGGCCCACGCCCACCCACCACCCAGCCCCCGAGGCGGTTTCCCACGATTCACATGGTAATGAAGGCATCCATCTTCCCCCAGACAAACACTGGGCCCTGCGGACCCTCCCAGGCCCCTGCACAATGGCCCTCAGCCCACAGCCCCACCACCTGTTGGACTTTCCCAGGGAAGGAAGGGAGGGAGGGCCCGGAGGAGAACCCCCTCCTCCCAGCCCCCTGCCCCGTGTGCGCCCTGGGAGGTAGCGCCCTTGGCCTCAGACTCCCAGTCCATCCTCAGCACCCTCAGTTTCCTCATCTGCAAACTGGCTCTGATGGTCCTGGAGTCACAGTGTGGCTGGGAGGATTCTGATGGAATCCGCAGGGTGGTAAGTGACAAGCTTGTGGAACTGTGGACTGCCACAGCAATGGAGAGTGAGATCAATAATAATAAGCTCTCTGTATCCTCTGGACCAGGCAGGGCGGAGCCATCAAGGCCACAGTGCATCCCCACAACACCAAGGGTGGCACTGTTGGGATCCCATTTGTCCAGGAGGGCACTGAGGCCCAGGGAAGACAAACTGGCCAAAGCACTGCAGCCCCCCCAAAGCAGCAGAGGTGGGATTCGGATACAGTTTTCCTCGCCCACCCCAGAGCCTGAACTTAACTTCTATGTTAGATCATCATCATCATTATTACTGTCACAATTATCAAATTAGATAGTGATCCTGCAAAAAGCCACATGAAAGTCCCTAAGGAAGCTAGGAAGGAAAGAGACCTAAAGGTTATTCATCTCTCTCTCCCCAGGACTTGGCCAGAGCAGGACACACAGTAGGTGCTTAATAACCAAAGACTGAATGAATGAAATAACCAGGAAGGGAACACACACCTTTATTCTCTGGGGTATGGGGTTAGTTCATTCATTCATTACATTCGATCAAGCATCTACTGTATGTGAGGCATCTGCCCTGGATGGTTTCAAACTTCACCCACCTGGCCAGCTCTTTAACTGAGAGCTGTTGAAATTGTCATTCCTATTTGTGCTCTCCAGGAGCCCAAATGTTTATGAACTAAATGATTCCCCAAATAAACACATTATTTCACCTTGTGATAAGTGACAGAGACTGGGGTGAGGTGGGGGCATTCAAAGCAGGCCTCTGGGGGGAGGTAATATCAGTTACAGCAAAGAACAGAAAATCAAAATCATTGTCTCTTCAAATGGAATCTTGGAAATCACTGGATTCCCCCCACCAGCACCTGCTGCTCCCCAGCGCAAAGCTGCACCCAAATCCAGCTCCACATTCTGCACTTGAATATTCAAATAAGAGTTGTTCGAGGCATTTATAGGCATAGCGATGGGCTAAGGATGATTTAAATTTTATTTTATTTTAGTTTAGTTTAGCTTTTTGAGACAGAGTCTCGCTTTGTTGCCTGAGCATAGAGTGCTGTTGTGTCAGCCTAGCTCACAGCAACCTCAAACTCCTGGGCTCAAGCGATCCTCCTGCCTCAGCCTCCCAAGTAGCTGGAACTACAGGCATGTGCTACCATGTCCGGCTAATTTTTTTTCTATTTTTAGTTGCCTGGCTAATTTCTTTCTATTTTTAGTAGAGATGGGGTCTCACTCTTGCTGAGGCTGATCTTGAACTCCTGACCTCAAGCAATCCTCCCACCTCGGCCTCCCAGAGGCTATGATTACAGACATGAGCCACTGTGCCTGGCCCAATGATTTAAATTTAGTTTATAGCTCATCTGTATTTCCAAATGCTCTATAATGAATGTGTACCCATTGTAATCAGCTTTAAAACAAGGAATATATTATTATGAAAAAGCCAGTGATACAGAGCTACATACAACAAGAAGGGGAAGGTCCACCCTCAATCTGAATCCCTATGTCTGCGGTTCTCTACAGTCCTTGGCCTGTTAGGGACCAGGTGGCAGAGTTCCATCCCCCTCCCCCACATGCCAGACTATGGAAAAATTGTCTTCCATGAAACTGGTCCCTGGTGCCAAAAAGTTTGCGGACCGCTGCCCTATGTGATCCCACATCCTAATCCCAGAGATAGCCACTACCACAGCTTTCCGGGGTCTAAAAAGTATATTCTAGAATAACCTTGAAACTCTTATGCTACATGAAAGCAGCCAGTTACAAAAGACTATATATTGTATGATTCCATTTAAATGAAATATCCAGAATAGGCAAATCTATAGAAACACTAAATAAATTAGTGGCTACCAGGGACTGGGGGATGGAAATGGGGGAAATTGGAGAGTAACTACTAATGGTTATGGGGTTTCTTCTTGGGGACATCAAAATGTTCTAAAATTGATTGTAGTGACAGTTGCACAACTCTGTGAGTATACTAAAAATCATTGAGTTGTACACTTTAAGTGGGTGAATTGTAAGGTATGTGAATTATCTCTCAATAATGCTGTTAAAGAAAAAAAAGTAAATTCTAGAAATGCTCCTGCCTTTGAGCATTGAAGCCCCACTCCACCCCCACCATCCCACTTCCGGCTGGCTCTGAGGGAGCAATCTCAGAAACAATGGGGTCCAGATCAGTTTCCCCCACCACGTGAGCCTCCCCTACTTGTTCACAGATGTTTCCCACCACACACAACGGGGCCATAGGACTCTCCCTTAACCTATTCTGGATTCAGACCTCTCCTCTTTACATTGTAATTTAAAATCATTTTTTGAATAATAATACATAGGCATGGTACAACCTTTATTTTTTTATTTTATTTTTTATTTTTGAGACAGAGTCTCACTCTGTTGCCTGGGCTAGAGTGCCGTGGCGTCAGCCTAGCTCACAGCAACCTCATGCTCCTGGGCTCAAGCGATCCTCCTGCCTCAGCCTCCCAAGTAGCTGGGACTACAAGCATGTGCCACCATGTCTGGCTAATTTTTTCTATATATTTTTAGTTGGCCAATTAATTTCTTTCTACTTTTAGTAGAGACGGAGTCTCACTCTTGCTCAGGCTGGTTTCGAACTCCTGACCTTGAGTGATCCTCCCGCCTCAGCCTCCCAGGGTACCACCTTTAAAAAGTACAAATGTCTCCCTTCTCCCTTGGAGGCATGAGATCATGCGGTATTTGTCTTTCTGTGTCTGGCATATTTATAGCTGCATAGTATTCTATTGTATGTCTAGAACATCCTTTATTCAACTAATTGCCGCAGTGATGGACATAGGAGTTTTTTCCAATTGGCTGCTCTTCCTGAAAATACATCATTTCACACATTTGAGTATATCCCTAGGACAGATTCCAGAAAGTAGAAGTGCTGTCTCATGATTTCCCAGGGCCACATGGTATTTCATAGTTTATTTAGCCATTCTTCTTCTAATGGACATTTAGGTTGTTTCCAATTGGTTGCTCTAATGAACATGGTTGCTGAAAACACTTTGGCTATCCTTCCCACACCCCTTTGGCAACGTGTTAGAAGATGTGGATCTTTTTCCCAGAAAAACACCTCAAATTCACCTGTCTTTGAAACCCACCCACGAGCCTTAAGAAACTCTTGAGTTGGCCGGGCGCGGTGGCTCACGCCTGTAATCCTAGCACGCTGGGAGGCCAAGGCGGGCAATTGCTCAAGGTCAGAGTTTGAAACCAGCCTGAGCAAGAGTGAGACCCCCGTCTCTACTAAAAATAGAAATTAATTGGCCAACTAAAAATATATATAGAAAAAATTACCTGGGCATGGTGGCGCATGCCTGTAGTCCCAGCTACTTGGGAGGCTGAGGCAGCAGCATCGCTTGAGCCCAGTAGTCTGAGGTTGCTGTGATCTAGGCCGACGCCATGGCACTCTAGCCCAGGCAACAGAGTGAGGCTCTGTCTCAATAAAAAAAAGAAACTCTGAGCTAAGCCAACTGCTGTCATTACAAATGGAGAAAAGTAAGGCCAGAGATGGGGACAGGGCTATGTCTCATGCATACAGTGGGTATATTACTAACTGTGCATTGGTTGGATCAGAGTTGTTGAGATTCAGCAAAATGAGTCAGGTCACAATCCTCCTCTGCTCAAAAGCCTCCATGGCTCCTGTCTCACCCAGAGTAAAAGACAAACTCCCTCTGAAAATACACATCTATTATGCATCAATAAAATTTTTTAGGCCGGATGCAGTGGCTCACTGTAATCCTAGCACTCTGGGAGGCCAAGGCGGGCGGGCCGCTCAAGGTCAGGAGTTCAAAACCAGCCTGAGCAAGGGCAAGACCCCGTCTCTACTATAAATAGAAATAAATTAATTGGCCAACTAACATATATAGAAAAAATTAGCCGGGCATGGTGGCGCATGCCTGTAGTCCCAGCTACTCGGGAGTCTGAGGCAGGAGGATTGCTTGAGCCCAGGAGTTTGAGGTTGCTGTGAGCTAGGCTGACACCACAGCACTCACTCTAGCCTGGGCAACAAATCGAGACTCTGTCTCAAAAAATAAATAAATAAATAAAATAAAAATTTTTAAATAAATACAATTAAAAGAAAAAAGAGGCCAGGTGAGGTGGCTCACACCAGTAATCCTAGCACTCTCGGAGGAGTGCTAGGAGTGCCAAGGCGGGGAGGATTGCTTGAGCTCAGGAGTTCTAGACCAGTCAGAGCAAGAGCAAGACCTCATCTCTATTTTTTTAAAATTAGCTGGGTGCTGGGTGGGCACCTGTAGTCCCAGCTACTCTGGAGGCTGAAGCAGGAGGATCGAGTGAGCTCAGGGATTTGAGGTTGCAATGAGCTATGATGAAGCCACTGCACTCTATCCTGGGCAATAAGAGCATGACTCTGTCTAAAAAAAACAAAATGAAAAAGAAGCAAAGGAGATTAGTGGTTACCAGGGCAGTGGGTAAGGGGAGCAGGGAGCAACTATTTAATAGGTACAAGGTTTTTGTTTGGCATGATGACGATGTTTTGGAACTAGATGGAGGAGGTGGTTGTATAACACTGTGAATGCCACTGAATTGTGCATTTTAAAATGACTCAATTGTCCACATCAAATATGTGTCTTTTATATCAAGTATATCTCAATAAAGCTGTTTTAAAAATGGTTAAAAAAAAAAAGGACAAAGTCCTCACTATGACCCTACATGAAGTTATATGATCCAGCTATACCTCCCCAGTATCTCCCAGACCTCATTTCCCAGTGCTCTCCTTCTAGCTAAAGTCACATTGGTTTCTTATTTTTGGTTTTGGTTTTGTTTTTGAGACAACTGTACTCTATTGCCCAGGCTAGAGTGCAGTTGCATGATCATAGCTCACTGCAACCTCAAACCCCTGGGCTCCAGCGATCTTCCTGCCTCAACTTCCTAAGTAGCTGGGACTATAGGCACACCACCACACTTGGCTAATTTGTTTTTTCTTTTTTTGTAGAGATGGGATCTCACTATGTTGCTCAGGCTGGTCTTCAACTCCTGACTTTAAGCTATTCTCCCACCTCACTCTCCCAAATTGCTGGGATTACAGGCATGAGCCACCATGATCCCAGCCTCACATTGGCCTCTTAAACAAACACCAGGCACACCTCTGCCTCAGGACCTTTGCACTGGCTGTGACTTCTGCCTGGAATGTTTTATTTATTTTTTTCCTCAATAGCTGAAGGAAGGGAGGCAACAAGTTCTTTATTGAAATATCACCTTCTTAGGGAGGCATTTACTGACCTCCCACCCAACCCATTTAGGGTTGCAACCCACCCCAACCCCCAGCTTTTCCTGATTTTATCACCAGATAATGTATATTGCTCTTACTCTGTTGCACGCCCCCCCCCACACACACACCCAGAATAAAAACTGCACAGGGACAGAGACTTCTGTCCGTTGTTCCCCGTGCTATGGCAGCGCTGGCGCAGAGCCCAGCAAGCCGTAGGTGTGCCACAGCTTTGAGAGCCCTGGACTCCAAGCCCAGATCTGCCTGGTACTTGCCGCGAAGTGGGACAAGTTACTTATTCAGGACGTCCCGGTTCATAGTTCCTCAACTGGAGGGGATATTTAGAGCAACTTCCGCACGGGGCGGCTGTAAGAGCTAAATAATGGCTTAAAGCCCTGGTAAGTGCTACGAGGCGGGAGGCTCTGCGGACAGGGCTGCGCAGGGAGCGCGCTGACACCGGAGCGGCGGGCGGGAGGCGGCCACGGGCAGGAGGTCCGGATTCCTGAGACGTCTTTCCGGTGTTCTCAGCCAGAGGGCGGGACAGCAGGCGCGGTGGGAGCGGCCGGAGGCACGCGCTTCCCCCGGGGACGCGCGGCGGCCCGCCCGCGCTCCAGTCGCCCCGGCGGCGGGCGGCAGGCTGGTCTTTCCCAGGCTCCCTGCCCCCGCCCCGCGAACATCTGGCCGCGAACATCTGCGCGCAGCCTTTGTCGCGCGGCCCCGGGCCGGCCTCGCACCCATCTGCCGCCGCCCGGCCCCCGCCCGTCTGCCCCGCTCCCCGGGGCGTTCCCCGCGCCCTCGCCCCCGCCCGCCGGGCCGGTTCCCACGGGCCGAGCGCGGGAAGCCGCGGCCCATCTGCCGCGGGCCGCTGCCCGGCGCGGCCGGGCCCTGCCGCCAGGCGTCCCCGAGGGGCGGGACCCTGTGCCCAGGAATGCCCTTGGGGCCGCCGCGGCCTCTCCCCGCCAGGCTCGGCCACCTCGCCGCCCGGGGCTGCCGGGGCACAGCGCGGCCCTCCCGGGCAGGCGGGCGCCAACCTGCCCGCCCCTCCTCCTCTTCCTGCGACACCCAGCGGACTCCCAGGCTCGCCCGCCCCATCTGGAGCCCCCAATCCTCCAACTGCTCCGGCCCCTCCGCTGGAACGCCCCTGCCCTCACTGCCTGCCAAAGTCTTGATTTTGTGAAATGGAAAAATTACCGAGAAATACAGCGACTTGGGTTACGAATACCACATTCCCACCACCCAAAACTAACAAATGTGTAGAGTCTGCTGCATTCCCCTCCCCACGTCTTCAAAGAACAACCTTCATACACAGTGCCAGCCCCCTTCTAACCGGCGTCCCTGTCCCTTTTCTCCAAGACTATCTGCCAACACCCCACCACCACCACCACCACCACGGCACCCTTCAATTAATATGATTTGGGCATGTGTTCGTCCAGGTCATGTTTCCTTATACTTTTACTGTACGTAAATGCATTGGCATTGTTTCTGCGTGTTTAAATTTACACTTTAAAAAAAATAATCCTGCATTTTCCCGAAGCAACATGGCATTTGTGTGTGTGTCTAGCAGAATACACAGAGATACGGAGATCAAGTTCATACCTATTAAATGCTGTATACTGTCCCTGCCATTTCATTTCCCTGTTCTGTCTTTGGACGAGTAGGCAGTTTTCAATTTGTTGCACTTGTACACGCAGCTGCCTGGTTCTTGCCCACATCTGCTGTCTTGTGTGCAGGACTCTCAGCGTCTGTCTGTGGGGGTGAATTCCTGGGTCACATTCACTTTCACTTGATATTGCCAAAATGAGTTCCCCGGTAATCATACCAGTGTACACACCCACCAGCACTGGATGACGGTTAGTTTCCCATAGCCTCACCAACATTTTATACTATCAGCCTTTAAAGATTTTTGCAGTGTGACATGACAGTTGTCTCCTGCAGACATCCCAGGTGTGCGAATGCTGGGACAACAAATGCTCCCACAGCCACTTGTGCTTTCCCATGACAGCACTGAGAACCTGGGGGGTTACTGCCTCATTACAGCCAGTCTCCCCACCAGACTGTGAGCTCCACAGGCAAGGACCACCTTGCAGGGCCAGTGAATAGGATTCGAGGAGCACAAGGGTGCCAGAAATCGTGCTCATGCCTGTAATCCCAGCTATTAGGGACACTGTGGTGGGAGGGCCACTGGAGGCTAGGAGTTCAAAACCAGCCTAGGCAACAAAGCAAGAACCTGTCTCTAATAAAAAAATAAGAAAAAACTACAAGCAGGGCATGGTGGCTCAGGCCTGTAATTCTAGCACTCTGAGGTGGGGGGATCTCTTAAGGTCAGGAGTTTGAGACAAAAACTGGAAAAAAAGGCCGGGCGTGGTGGCTCACGCCTGTAATCCTAGCTCTCTGGGAGGCCGAGGCGGGTGGATTGCTCGAGGTCAGGAGTTCGAAACCAGCGTGAGCAAGAGCGAGACCCCGTCTCTACTATAAATAGAAAGAAATTAATTGGCCAACTAATATATATATATAAAAAAAAAAACTAGCCGGGTATGGTGGCACATGCCTGTAGTCCCAGCTACTCGAGAGGCTGAGGCAGTAGGATTGCTTGAGCCCAGGAGTTTGAGGTTGCTGTGAGCTAGGCTAACGGCACTCACTCTAGCCTGGACAACAAAGCAAGACTCTGTCTCAAAAAAAAAACTGGAGAAAAATAGAAAAATTAGCCAGGCACGGTGGTGAACACCTATAATCCTGGCTACTAGGGAAGCTGGGGCAGGAGGATCGCTGGAGCCCGGGAGTTTGAGATTACAGAGAACTACGATGACGTCACTGCACCCTAGCCTGGGTGACAGAGTGAGACTCTGTCTCAAAAAAAGAAAGAAAATAAAAAATTAGCATGGTGTGGTGGCACACCACACCACCTGTAGTCCCAGCTACTCAGGAGGCTGAGGCAGGAGGATCACTTGAGCCCAGGAGTTTGAGGCTACTGTGAGCTATAATCACAACACTGAACTCCAGCCTGGGCAACAGAGCAAGACCCAGTTTCTAAAATATAAATGAATACATAAATAATTTTTAGAAACAGTGCTCTCATGGAAGGTTTCATCTACCCAGAGAAAGGGGTTCCTCTTTCCAATTTCTACAAAGTGTACCCTTGGGGTAGCAGCAGCTCACCTATTGACAGCATCTCTGTGTCCCCAGAATGTGGATACAGCAGCCAGGGACCAACCACCTGGCTGGTGTTGTTTATTCCCATTTGGGTTCCCTCAACTAAATGTGGCTCCCTAAAAGCATGAACCTGGGTTATGTTCGTTCTCCACTGTGCCTAGCACAAAGCTATCGTGCACTACTTGTTTAGAGAATAAATGCTTGGTATTTGATTATTCTAAAGTTCTGTAATTCAGTGGTGAAACATTTACTCAATATTTTATTTTTATTTTTAGAGTCAGGGTCTCACTCTGTCACCCAGGCTGGAGTACAGTGGCTCCATCACAGCTCACTGCAACCTCAAATTCCCGGACTCAAGTGATCCTCCCACCTCAGTCTCCTGAGTAGCTGAGACTACACGCACACACCACCTCGCCCAGGTAATTTACAAAAGTTTTTTTTTTTGTGAAAACAGGGTCTCACTGTGCTGCCCAGGCTGGTCTCAGACTCCTGTCCTCAAGCGATCCTTCTGCCTTAGTCTTCCAAAGTGCTGGGATTACAGGCATGAGCCACCTCTCCTGGCCAATATCCAGTTATTTAACAGGGGTTACGTCTAGGAGAGGTAGACTAGTCACTGCAATAATAATAACTAACTAGTGTCTATTAAGTGCTGACTTTGCCAGGAACTGTTCTAAGCTCTGTATGTGACTAAACTCATTTACTCCTCATAGAGATGGGAACTGTCACCAGCCCACTTTCACAGATGAGAAGCTGAGACATGAAGAAATGAAGTGACTTAGAGTCACCCAGCTCGTAAGTAGTGCAGCCAGATGGGAACCCAGGGCTCTTTGGCTCTCTGAGAGACTTCATTCTGCTGTTTCCCCAGAAAAAGGGTCCCTTTCTTCCTTAAATGTTTCTAGATGTCTTAACTTCCTTTCAACCAGCACGTCAGTGCTTTTGCATCCACCTAAAAGTAATACTTTTTAAAAGAAAACTTAAGAGATTGTCATGAGTCAGTGTTAGAGGAGTATAGCTCTGCTGTGACTTGAGGTGAGGGTGCAGCTGGAGGTGCCACCCCCTGGTGACAGGGTAGTCAGGGTTGGGCTGCACAGGGAGGGGTGGGCAGGGAGCTGGGCGGGGCCCTGAGACACTCAACCGCAGCTGGTTCCTGGGATCCGGGCCCTGGGGCCGTGGGCGGAGCCAGGTGTTTGGGAGGCAGGTGAGTCAAAGGAGGGCCGGCTGGCGGGGGAGGGGAAGGGGTGCTGCTTGTGGAAGTGGGCCTCTGGGGCCGCCCGTCCACCTCAGGGGGGGATATGGGGAAATCACCAAGACCCCCTGCCCAGAGGCCTCTGTCTCGTCTCCCTCATGTCACCTCTGAGGTCCCTCGAGGGCCTCCAAACCGGAGTCAGTGGTCTCTGCTGGGCTTTGCCCAGGGTGTGGCCAGCTGGCCTCGGGGCACTCCCAGCTGGTGGCATCAGCCTCTGTGGCTGCCAGGGTCAGACCAGCTCCCACACCTCCACCCTGGGCAGGGCCCAGGCCTGCATTCATGGGCGTGAGACGCCCAGGGTCTGGGTAGGTGGCGTTGTGTGTCTGTGCACCTTATGCAGGACTGTGCATTGTGTGCGTTGAGAGTAAGGGGACTGTCTACATCTAAAAGGACTTTGGGGTGGCAGGCGGCAGTGCAGGGTCTTTGCGCTGGTGAGGGTAGGTGTCGGTGGGTATGCACATTGCGGACGCCTTTGAGTTAGACTGTTTTCTCTCAGGCTGTGGGCACGTGTGTGAGCATCTTGGTGTGGCTGCTCTTTTGGTGTGATCGATGTACATGTGTGTTGTGTTTGGAGTGTTGCAGTGTAAGACACGTATCTGTGTGTTGTGTGGGCTGAGGGATTATTGTGGTGTGATTTGAGTGTGGTTCTGTTAAGTATTACAGTTGGGTGTTTTGATGGGTTGCCTCCTTGGTTCTTATTTTTTTTGGTGCGTTGGTTGTGCAGATTTGGTGTTTCGGTTGTGTGCATTGAGGCCACTGTGTTGACTGTATACTATGGAATATCAGGCATTGTGCATTTGGCAGGTGGCTCTGTTGCTTGTGTGTACTGGTGTGTTGCTGTCAAATTGGATTTGTCAGTTGTGTCAGTTGTACGTGTGCTGTGTTGCTTGCTTGTGTGGGTATGTGTATCTGCATATTGCTCTGTGGATGTGTGTCACAGTGCGTTTGCGTTTGCATGGTCCTGCAGATTTGGCCTGTACTGAGTAACCTGAGCTGGGTGCTCCCTGAGCCTTGACTCTGCCCCTCCCTCTGGCCGCTGGAGACCAGGGCAGCAGTGGCCCTTTGTCCAGCCACAGGAAGGCCCCACCCCCTCCATCTGCAGGAGACCGGGAGGGGCCCAGACTGGCAGGCTCCAGCCTCCCGTCCATTGTTCTGGGGCCTCTTTGGAAAACAGGATGGGAAGCAAAAGGTGGACCCAGGCCTAGACCTCCACACTCCCTGAAAGGACCCCGGAGCCCAGCACAGAACCCTTAGGAGGGAAGGCTGAAAACAGTCCCCATTTTGCAGATGGGGAAACTGAGGTCCAGAATGAGAAAGGGACTTGGCAGAGGTTTCACAGCCTGTTGAGGGCAGAGAGCTTGAAGTCCCCACAGTGTGCATGTGCCCATCCACAGCCTTCTACTGAGTTTGGGGGACAGAGAAATGAGACCCCTGGAAGGTCATAAAACTGTCATTCTGTTCCCATTTCTGAATGCTCACCATGTGCTAAATACTGACGTGTCATACCACTGTGGGTAAGTTCAAATTCTGTCCCCACTTTGCACAGGAGGACCATAAGGCAACAATTAATTATGCAACAGATATTTTCTAAATATCACACTATCCGAAGTCCTCTGCCGTGTGACCTTGAGCCAACTGCTTACCTTTTCTGGGCCAGGCCTTAGCTCAGCTCTGGGACACAGCTGTGACCAAAGGAGCCGTGCTCCTGCTCTCTTGGTGCTCACAGCCTGGGGAGGGAAGAGGGAGCAGGGAATGGAGAATACACAAGAAAACAAAGATGATTTCAGATGGGAGTAAATTCAGTGAATAATTAAGAGCAGGGCTATGTAAAAGAAAGTAGCCAAGAGGGGTCTGAACTGGCCTCTGTGGAGCTGACTTTTGACCTGGGACTTGAAGAATGTGACCTTTGCGAAGCCCTGGGGTTGATGAGGTTCTAGGCAGAGGGCGCAGCCAGGGCAAGGGCCCTGCGGCAGGATGGCAGGACAGAGCTGGGTTAGTGCGGAGGCTGTGGCTGGGGAGAAAGGGCAGGAGATGCAGTGGGTGGCGGTGGGCAGGGGCCGAGCGCGGGGCGGAGTCTGGACCGGACTCCCGGTGGGGTGGGCTGTGGGCTGGGCGCACAGTTCTGCTGGAGGGGCACGCAGTCTCCCGTTTCAAGGGGGGAGGCGGAGACAGCCAGAGCCAAAGGTCTCTCCCCCGCAGCTCCAGCAGTCCCAGCCCAGAGGCGCCGGCCTGGCGGCTGGAAGACGGCACTGTGGGCACATCTGGGGAGCAGCTGCCAGGCCAGGGCCAGAATGGGTCACGTGGCACAGGGCAGGACCGCCCTGGAGCCTGCAAGGCCAAGACTCTCGGGAGAGGCTGGGGGGAACATACCGGACATGAACACACGTCAACAAGGACGCACTCTGCAGTGTAGACGCGCGTGCACACAGCCTCTGCAGCCCCTGCCTCAGGAGGCAGAGTGCCTGGGTTCAATGCCACCTCCCAGCTGTGTGATCTGAAGCAAGTCCCTCCACCCCTCTAGGCCTCAGTGGCCTCAGCTGTAAAGGGAACATGATATTACTGCCTATTCTATGGGCTGTTTATTTCTCATTCAACAAATATTCCTTGAGTGCATCCCGAGTGCCAGGCACTGCACTAGGCTGCGTTACGGCACGTGGTCCCTGCCCTCCTGAGCCCACCGTCTTAGGTGAACACTTGGAACCACATCTGACATTCAGGGAGCACTGGGCAAATAAATGTGAGCCATCCGCCTGGAGCCCTGGAGGCCAGAGGAGGCATCTTACAAGGCAGAAAGGGAGGTGCAGCGACAGAGAAATCCTAATGAGAAGGCATTCCTGGATTATTTCACCCTCCCAACCACTCTACGAAGGTGGATGAGCATTAGCTCCAGTTTATAGATGAGGAAGACTGAGGCCCAGTTTGTCAGTGGTAGAGCCAGGATTTCAAGATGTGAAGGGGTTGTCCCTTTTCTTCTCTGGGCCCCAGTACAGCCCTGCTGTGAAATGAGGCAAAATAATAATATAGCTGCTACCAGCCCCAAACAGTGCCAGGAACATGAAAAGGGCCTCCTAAGAGATGATGAGCTTGAATTCCAGGTTGGGAGCCTGGGGGTTCATTGAAGGTGCCCTCCAAATTTCCTGGCCCCCTGATGAGGGATCTGTTTTCCTGAGCTGACCTGGGTAAGGAGGACTGGGAGGAAAGTGCTCAGTCAATTCACACTGTCACAGGCCAGGCGCGGTGGCTCACGCCTGTAATCCTAGCATTCTGAGAGGCCAAGGTGAGTGGATCACTCAAGGTCAGGAGTTCGAAACCAGCCTGAGCGAGACCCCGTCTCTACCAAAAATAGAAAGAAATTAATTGACCAACTAAAAAATATATATATACAAAAAATTAGCCGGGCATGTTGGCGCATGCCTGTAGTCCCAGCTACTCGGGAGCCTGAGGCGTAGGATTGCTTGAGCCCAGGACATTGAGGTTGCTGTGAGCTAGGCTGATGCCACAGCACTCACTGTGGCCTGGGCAACAAAGTGAGACTCTGTCTCAAAAAAAAAATTCACACTGTCACGGAGAAGACCAGAAAAATGCCCATCTGGTATGAAGATAAACAGGCTGTCTTTATTTAAACTCCTTGTCAGGCCTTAAGCATGTAAGAGATAAAACCCAGCGTCTGGGAGTACTGCAAATTCTCTGGACTGAAATGAAGCCAGCTTTTCCCCACAGGCCTGGGGTGAGTGTATATGTAGGAGAATGTCATTGCAATTGGGAAGTTGGAGGGGACCACAGTGAGAATAATGTTTCAGAGGTTCCATAAGCTTGAGGCAAAACTGCAACCAATTGGGTCCCAGAGGCCTGGAATTAAACAGATGCTATGACTCTCCACTGTTAAGTGAGCACCTACTATGTGCAAGTGCTTTGCAAGCCTAATCTCAATGACTCCTTGCAGCAGCCAAGGGAGGTGGGAACATCTATCATTTTGTTGATAAGGAAGTAGAGGCTCAGAGAGGTGAAGGGTCATGCTCCGGGTCACAGAGAGGTCAAGGGTCTTGCTCCAGTTCACACAGTTGAATAAGGATTTGAATCCTGAGCTGTTGGATCCTAAGCCCCAGCCCTTTCGACTATTCCGCAGCCAATTGTTTCTCCCCAAATTGTCAAAGCTTTCCATTTGCCCAGCTACCTGTGCCCCCCACACACCTTCATTCAGGTTATTTTTCCTTGTGCTTTTCCTACCTAGAATGGCCAGAGGATAAGCCATCTCCCCTAGGAAACCTCCCCGATTTCCTCCAAGATAGAACTCATTTTTCCTTTGTTTCTAAGGCACCTAGAAGGAAAATCTTATCCTAGAGTCCTGATGTGAGGGTAGTTCCTAGCCATGGCCTCTGTGGCTAGCACAGGACCTGGCAAGGAGTGGAGGGACATGAATGTTAAGTTCATTTAATTATTGGGGTCCTAATTGTCCCTTGACTTCTTTCTCCCTTATTTGTCTGCAAAGTGTTCTTTTTTTTTTTTTTTTTTTGAGACAGAGTCTCGCTTTATTGCCCAGGCTAGAGTGAGTGCCGTGGCGTCAAAGCTCAATACGCTAATAGCATACACTTCAAAACTCCTTGAGGTAGCAATACTCCTTCTGCCCTGCCTTCTAGACCCTCAGCCGAGAGCGTAAGACTCTGGTTTATAAGGCATGGTGCGCACGACCAGATCTAAATCTTAAATAATCGCCTAAAGCCCATCCCGTAAGCTAAATTAATAAAAATATTATTGATTTCAAAAAATAAGATCAGGATTGGTCAATCCCAATCTAGAGTTTCTTCTTATTTAGACAAGATAAAGGCAGCGAATACGAAGAGTACGGGTCCCTTGCACTTTATGTCCTCGAGGCTGAGCTCATCGAGATACCAGATGCTGACTCAGAGGCAACAACCATCTTCCGCCTCGGCTCTCCAGAGGCTAGGATTACAGCTTCCGAGTCCACCTCCTGCCGAACCGCCTGCAGAAAGAGTATGTTACTTGTATTTCCAACGTACCTCACCGCAGACCACCAGAGGTCAAGCTCAGGCCCACGAGGCCGAGGGCTAACCATGCCAACCATTTTGCAGTCGGTTAATTATTACACATAAGTATGACAGTGAATATACTTATATGATTTAGAAATCAATAATTTAAAAATAACTCCTCGCTTTCTCCGTTGCCGTGAGTTAGTACCGTTCTTGACATTGGAAACTCCATGCCATCCTTGTCCAGGATGAACCAAGTGGTATATGGATAGAAGCAACTCCACAAGCGCTGAAAGTGCAAAAAAGAAGTAATGAGGCAGTAGGTCCAGATAAACAACCAGTCATTATCTGCACACACATGGCCAGGCGAGCAAGAATCAGAAATGATAGGATAATGCCAAGAGGCATGGGGACACGTTGTGGTTAAATGCGCATGGTAATTTTCCTGGCTGTCATTCTCACCGCCCCGAGAGAGATAATTAAATAACGAGATTTGAACTTGTCTAGGCGAAAATGAGGATCTAGTAATCTCTAATATTCGCCCATCTCAACTCTAAATCTCAAATCCCAGATACAGGCACCTTGACCCTCCTGGAGAGACCAACCGACTTTGAACTACCACCGAGAGAGAAAACAGTGCCTTTGTAAAATCCTTTGCCCTGGACATTCTAGACTAGTTCGCTCTCAGAACTAGTGGCCGAGTGTAACGTATACAATAAATCATCTTTTCTGCTGTCTTAGCTGAAGAATTAAAAAAAAAAAGGCAGTAGGGGTAGTGGCATATTGCCTGCAGTCCCAGTCTACTCAAGGAGACTTATGAGTAAGAGGATCACTGGAGCCTACAATTGGAGTCCAGCCTGGGCAATCATAGCAAGACCAATAAAAGAAAAAATAAATGATAGAAGAAAAAGAAATAATGGGTCATAACCCAAATATAAAAGTTAAAACTATAAAATTCTGGAATATATAAAATAGAAAAAAATCTTTGTGATCCTGGTGATAAGCAGAAAATTCTTAGGATGACAATAAAACAATTCATTAAGGAAATCAATAAATTGGTCTTAATCAAATTTAAAACTTCTACTTTTCAAAAGATGCTGTTAAGAAAATGAATAAAGACCAGGCCGGGAAGCAGTGGCTGCACGTGTAATCTAGATCTGGGACGAGGGGCTTGGCGAGCGTCGGGGTCGACAGGCCTCAGCGAGAGTTTCACTAATAATGAAAATTATGACATAAAAAATATAGAAAAATAGCGGCATGTGGTGCATGTGTATGCTCAGCGACTTGGGGGCTGAGCCAGAGGTGAGCCCAGGAGATTGAGGTTGCTGAGCTAGGCTGACGCCACGGCCACTCACTCTAGCCTGGGCAACAAAAGTGAGACTCTGTCTCCAAAAAAAAAAAGAAAAAAGGAAAAAGAAAGTATTTTAAAAATAAAGAAAAAAAGAAGAAAGGAAACCAGCCTGAGCAAGAGACGAGAACCCCGTCTCTACTTAAATATGAAATAAATTAATTGCAACTAATATATCATATAGAAAAAATTAGCCGGCGCATCAGGTCCGCATGCCTGTACCAGCTACTCGGGAGGCGGCTGAGCAGAGAAGGATTGCTTGACACCAAGGATATCTGATGCGGCTTTGCATAGTGAGCTAGGCTGATGCCATGGCACTCACTCTAGCCTGGGCAATAAAGCGAGACTCTGTCTCAAAAAAAAAGAAAATGAAAAGACCAGACATAGATTGGGAGAAGATATTTGTAAATCATATATCTGATAAAAGATTTGTATCCAAAATATGAAACTCTCAAAACTCAATAACAACAAAACAGACAACTGAATTAAAAAGAAATGATCCACTACTGCACTTAACTAGTCTAAAAAAGAAAAAGAAATGAGCAAAAGATTATAGGGTAGCACGGAGGAGCCTTGTGATGGAACTGTTCTGTATCTTGACTATAGTGATGGTCACATGAATTTACATGTGATAAAACTGCACAAAACTAGCTGAGTGCAGTGGTGGCACACCTGTGGTCCCAGCTACTACTTGGCAGACCTCGGTAGGAGGATTGCTTGTGCCTGAGAGTTTAGAAACAGCCCAGGCAACATAGGGAGATCCTGTCTCAAAAAACAAACAAACAAAAAAATTGCATGGAACTAAAAACACATAAATGAGTGCATATAGGTATGGTAAAATCTGAATTTCACTTGAAATCTGATTGTGTGCAATATTATAATGTACTTAAGCGAGATGTTACCATTGGAGAAAATGATTGAAGAATATAAGGAATCTCTCTCTTTTTTTTTTTTGAGACAGGATCTCACTCTGTTGCCCGGGCTAGAGTGTTGTGGCATCAGCCTCGCTCACAGCAACCTCAAACTCCTGGGCTCAAGTGATCCTTCTGCCTCAGCCTCCCGAGTAGCTGGGACTATAGGCATGTGCCACCGTGCCTGGCTAATTTTTCCTATATATTTTTAGTTGGCCAATTAATTTCTTTCTATTTTTAGTAGAGACAGAGTCTCACTCTTGCTCAGGCTGGTTTCAAACTCCTGACCTTGAGCGATCCTCCCGCCTTGGCCTCCCAGAGTGCTAGGATTACAGGCGTGAGCCACCTCACCCAGCCAAGAAATCTCTTTTTATTATTTCTTTCCTTATTTATTTATTTTTATAGTTGAGATCTCCCTGTGTTGCCTAGACTGGAATGCAGTGGATAGTCACAGGCACAATCATAGCACACTACATCCTCGACATCCTGAGCTCAGGCAATCCTCCCACCTCAGCCTCCTGAGCAGCTGGGACTACAGGTACACTGGCCAAAAATATTTGTTTTTAATCAGCAAAAATGTTAAATGATACTTCACCAAAGTAGATATATGGATGGCAAATGAGGACGTGAAAAGATGCTTGACATCTTAGTCATTAGGAAAAAATACAAATGAATACACAGTGAGGAGCCACAACCCGTCTATTGGAATGAGTAAAAATGACTGACCGTACCAACTGCTGAGGAGCATGCGGAGGAACTGGAACTCTCAAACACTGTTGATGGGAACATAAAATGGTACAACCACTTTTGGAAAACAGTTTGGTAATTTCTTGGAAAGTTAAACATCTACTATAGTTAAACATCTACCAGTCACTTCATTATTATTTATCTAAGAGAAATGAAAGCATAGGTTCATATAAATACCTGGATAAAAGAGTTCACAGCTGCTTTATTTGTACTAACCAAAAACTATAAACAATCCAAATGTTCCTCAACAAGTGACTGGATAAACAAATTGTGGTATATCCATAAAATGGAGCACTAATTAGCAATAAAAAGGAACAAACATGGTTGAATCTCAAAATAATTAGGCTGGGTAAAGAAATCAGACTCAGCTGGGTGTTGTGGATCATGCCTATGGCCCCAGCACTTTGGGAGGTTGAGGTGGGAGGATCACTTGAGGCCAGGAGTTTGATACCAGCTTGGGCAACATAGCAAGACCCCATCTCTGAAAAAAAAACAACCCAAATCAGCTAGGTGTGGTGGTGCCTGCCTGTAGTCTCAACTACTCAGGAGGCTGAGGTGAAAGGATAGCTTGGGCCCAGGAGTTCCAGGAGGCTGTGAGCTAAGATCATGCCACTGCACACCGGCCTGGGTAACAGAGAGAGATCCTGTCTTTAAAAAAAAAAGAAAAGAGGCCAGGCCCAGTGGCTCATGCCTATAATCCTAGCACTGTGGGAGGCCGAGGCAGGAGGGTGGCTTGAGGTCAGAAGTTTGAGACCAGCCTGAGCAAGAGGGAAACCCTGTCTCTACTAAAAAATAGAAAAAATTAGCTGGGCCACTAGAAATAGAAAAAATTAGCCAGGCGTGGTGGTGCATGCCTGTAGTCCCAGCTACTCAGGAGGCTGAGGCAGGAGGATTGCTTGAACCCAGGAGTTTGAGGTTGCTGTGAGCTAGGCTGACGCTATGGCACTCTAGCCCTGGCAACAGGGTGAGACTCTGTCTCAAAAAAATAAAATAAAATTATAGAAAATGCAAATGAAAACATACCAGTAGTTGTCTGAGCACTGGGTGGATGAGGGGAGGAATTACAAGAGGCAGAAGGAAACTTATGGGGAGAATAAATAAACGTTAATTTTCTTGATTGTGGGATGATTCATGGGTGTGTCAATCTGTCAAAACTTATCATATTGTATATTTTAAATATGTACAAACAAATAAGTTTGTTTTTGTTAACTGTACTTCAATAAAGCTGTTTAAGGAAAAAAGAAAAGAATGAAATACATTTGGCCTCCGTATCTGTGGCTTCTACATCAATGGATTCAACCAACCTCAGATGGAAAATATTCCAAAAAAAAAATGACATCTCTATTGAACATATTCAGACTTTTCTTCTCATTATTCCTTAAACAATACACTATAACAACCATTTACATACCATTTACATTGTAGTAGGTGTAAGTAATCAGAGATGATTTAAAGTATACCAAAGGATGCACACACATCACAGACAAACCCTACACAATTTTACATTAAGGACTCGAGCATCTGTGGATCTTGGTATCCGAGGGGGTCCTGGAACCACCCCGCATGGATACCTCAGGCGACCTGTACCTATGTGAACATAAAAGTGAAATTCCTACCCCACACTGTCCTCCTTCCCCTCTCACTTCCTATTAGTGTTTGTCACCCCCACTCTTTTGGCCTTCTAATAATTTTATTGAGGTACAATTTAAATACAATGAAATGCACAAAAGTATATAATTCTGTGTGTTTTGACTAATTCATACATGGAGTAACCCACACCTTATCACTACAGGAAACACTTCCACCATCCAGAAAGTTCCCTCACATGCCGTCCCTGACAACTCCCACCCTCCACTCCCAGAGGCAACTACCATTCTGATTTCTTTCCCTATAGATTAGTTGTGCCTGCTCTATAACTTTCTTTTCTTTCTTTTTTTTTTTTTTTTTTTTGAGACAGAGTCTCACTCTGTTGCCCAGGCTAGAGTGTCGTGGCATCACCCTAGCTCACAGCAACCTCCAACTCCTGGGCTCAAGCAAATCTTCTGCCTCAGTCTCCCAAGTAGCTGGGACTACAGGCATGCACCACCATGCCTGGCTCATTTTTTCTATATATTTTTGGTTTTCCAGCTAATTTCTTTCTATTTTTTTAGTAGAGACAGGGGTTTTGCTCTTGCTCAGAACTCCTGATCTCAAATGATCCACCGGCCTCTGCCTCCCGGAGTGCTAGGATTACAGGTGTGAAGCCACCACGGCTGGCCTGCTCTAGCACTTTATATGAGAGAAATCACTCACACAGTACTGTGTTTGAGTTCTTTACCACAGCATAATTTTTGCTCGTTTTAAATAAATTTCTGGACACATGTATATGCAGGAGTAGTGTGTTGGCTTTGTTACGTATAAGAGGTCCATGGTCACCCATCCGTCACTTGCCTTTTCCACTAACAGCAAGATCAAGTTCTCTCTCAGAGCCACAATTCCCAGCTACTGCATAGGGAGGCCACAGCACTGATGTTCCATTCATAGTTTATGTAATGCCACTGTGGATAGCCATTAGGTGATTTCCATTTCTCCCCTTGCTAATAGCTCGCAATGTACATCCTCCAGCAGACAGACGTCTGTCTTGGCTTCTCTGTGTTGGATTCTCTGGAATTGGTTGCAGCAAGCAGAACTGCTGAGTCAATTAATAAACCCCCAGCGATGAGTTAACATTCTAATTTCCTCTTGTTGACCATCCAAATCTTCAGCAATTCTTTTCAGCAGGAAAATGTTCTTGCCCGTCATTAGAAGATTGCTAAACAGGCCGGGCGCGGTGGCTCACGCCTGTAATCCTAGCACTCTGGGAGGCCGAGGCGGGCGGATTGCTCAAGGTCAGGAGTTCAAAACCAGCCTGAGCGAGACCCCGTCTCTACCATAAAAATAGAAAGAATTTAATTGGCCAACTAATATATATAATATAAAAATCAGCCGGGCATGGTGGCTCG